TTCTCATGAAGTGACTCCACCAGTTTTTACCTACATCTGCCATTTTTCTAGTGTTCAAGTGAAGTCTTCCAAACTCACAGAAGTTTCTTACGTGAGTCCCTCCTACCTAGTCCCTCCTCATTTACAGTAGCTCCCTCCTCATCCTGAGTCCCCGCGGCTCATCCAGGGGATCCGAGACCACGCTCTGCACAGAGGGATCCTTCGGAGACGGCACGTTCTCATTGAAGGTGACCTGCGGCGTTCGGACCGACGGCCCCACGGCGCGGTCGGCGTCGTGGTCGGCGAGAGAAGGCGGCTCGACGCCGACCTTGGTGGGAATTGGTGGGATGTGGAGAACCAAATGAGTAAATTCTGGATCTCAATGGTAGTATTTATGGTATTACACTTTTGTTATCTATAATTATGGGTACAGTATACATAGGTAATATACAGTATACGAAATATACATGATCCAGTATTAGTAGGTTGCTTGGGGCACGACTGCAAACACACCCGCCGGGTCTGATGTCGCCCTTGGGCACCCAGACCCGACTGGAGCTGCCGCCCATGGCTGTCGACGGAGAGCAGAAGCCAAAACTCTCGGAGCCCAAATTCTTCGGGGCAAATCGGTGAAGAAGAGCAAGGCTAGCGCGCCCAAAAAGAGCCGTATACGGTATACGCAAAGCAACACAGGTATCAGTTTCTGAGGAACCCAAAGGAAAAACAATTGCGATGGAAGACAGGCAAGAAACATACAGTAGTAAATGGGATCAAGTACCATTGAACAGATGGTGTGTGTAGCTTGACGTCCTGAAGCCCAAAGCAGTGATAAGCACTTATATAAATAACTAATTTGGGTCCGTGAAATTTCCTGTAAGAGTCAGTAGACAAGTATCACTATTTTTGAACAAGGCCTTTACTAAGCATATGATAGCATATGCTAATTGAACATCATCATCCCCTGTTACTACAGTAATAGGATAGACCCACTGATAGACCCAACAATACCCAATATATCCCAAATATAATCCAGATATTTACTAACTCATCATGCGTCAGTGGATGCGGATCTTTCTGAACCCACGGGATATGCCACAGGATGTCTCATGGGATGCCGAGAGGCCGAAAGAACAAAGACCAGTCCGACCTGCCGAGAGGCCCCAAGTCCCGCCCCCAAAGTCTTCAAGAAAAAAGGGCAGATTATATACACTAGAGTAGTAGGAGTTTCATCATGTTTCATCATGTTTCAGGGGTGAACAAAAACGTTGAGTGTCCAGCAAGACGGACCGGAAACTCTGCGGCTGACCGAGCTCCTTTGAACTCTAGTTGAGTTCCATCAAATCACAACCTGAAACTTCTATGCTCACGGGAAAAAAAGAAAAGAACAACTGAAAATAAAGGACCACGACGACAACATGTGGGGAAAAGGATCCGTTGTGATTTCACCACCATCGACCAGGAGAAAATTCACCTGACAGTGATGAAAGGTGCCATGGATGATTTGATAGCGATGTCCCACGCTTGGCGTCACGCGAGCTGATCAGCAGCTGCCACTTGTAACTGTTTTGAACACTTGCCTGGACCGACCTAACCAGAACTCTTGAAAAACATCCTGATGCAATTCCTCGTAGCCTTCCTTGCCAGTTGGATAAAATTGGGACATCCATCAGGCTTCGCACTGCTCACACCGTGCACAGTACAACGCTCGCAATCAGTCAGGAACAAAAGGAAGAGCGGCAAAAATTAACAAACAAGTTCTCAAACGTCTGACAATGCAGAAAGAAAGGGACAAACAAAAGGAAAGAGGGAGGAAAATCTGACAGTTGATTTGGACAAAGGTGGACTCGCCTCAAAAGACTATCAAGAAAACAAATAAACAGAGATAAACAAAGTGACACTCCCAAACGTGGGCATGGATCCAGCAGAAAGCATGGTGCCCTTGGACATACTAGATTACTATATAGATCCCAGCTCAACCTCAGTCAACCCGCAATAGCTCTCGACTTGTGGCTCATGTCCTGAAGAATCCCTTCTGGGTATATCCCTCTTGGTTGGCCAGAACCAAACTCCTTCATCACCTTGTTCGGCTCTCTTTTCGCGGTGGCCACCGGCTCGTTGGCCCCGTTTCCCGCGGTTTCCCACCGCGTCTTCGCTACGGAAGAGCGGTGAAATGCGGCGATTGATGCCAAAGCGCATTAGCAAAGCACGGAAGGCGATGAAGCACCAGGGAATTCCACACAGTTTTCTCTAGGACCTCATAGGCCTCCTACTAAGTTATCATATCTCCGGCAGTGTGCGCAACTCGTGAAAGCTGTCAAATCTTCTCCCAATGCCTGGTCGATGTTGGAACACCAACTGGGACTCAGGACACCCCGCTGGGACTCAGTTTCATCTAGATCTGATTGGGCTTATTATGCCATTGAAGGGTACGTTCTGAAACAAAGACACACCTGTGGAGGAACTGGTGGAAAGCATGACCCTGAACTTGTAGCGCTTGATGGTCGAACCAAACACATTTTAAAAAAAGAAACGCACACATTAAGACAGGTCATTAATCCACCATCTCCCAATTGGTCCATGGTCTGAAGATGTCACGCTGAGGACTATGGTTCACGAAAAGGAAGGCGCAAACTCCAGTCCAAAGATCAAGCTTTTTCCACATACACAACCAATCACACTGAAGTGTCTGATACATCCTGGATACAACCACACTCCACTTGCCAAAAGATTCGCCTCTTGCAGCAAGACAGCTGGGACGACAGCACGACTGCCAATACCATCCAATAAGAACTTAAGATGTTTAAATCAATGGTTCCTTCATCAGATCAAATCCTAAACTTTACTTGAACATCTTAGTTTTGATTGGACCATATTGGTTCTTACTGGAACAAATCCTAAATCAAAGGTTCCTTCATCTCGAACCGCGTCCGTCCCGGAACCTCTTTGGATCCTTTAGGGACCCCTCGCAGCCGGGTCCGGGTCAGCGCTGGGCCGCCGCTAAGGAGCTGCACACAGGTCGTCAATGGCCTGTTGTCGGATGGCATCCAAAGCTTTCTCCTCGGAACGGATGAAGTGTGGATGAAACTGTGGATGAAGTGTGGATGAATGCAGCGGCGATGCAAAGAAGCATGCTAATTTGCCGTGCCAAAGTGATCCGGATGGCGCGCAAGTAGGATGTGGAGGATGAGGGAAAGTGGTGCAATGGGAATCCACGAGATGAGTGATTGGAGTAGATTGGACGTAGTTAATATTGTCATTTGACAAATTGTTTGGAGAGAGACGGAAAGAGTTTGGGGTCCTGGAGGTTTGAGGTCATGGATCTGCAGATGAACATCATTTCTTGGTGGAACTCATTACCTGTGACTCTCTCAAGAGGTCGAACCAGGCCAACTAAGTGTCAGACAGCCCCCCTCATCTCCCAGTCCTGACAGCACAAAAGATGCAGAATTCGCAGAACCAAGCGATCTCTCCACTGAGTTGGCCAGGAGCTATCACAGACCAAAAGAAGCGTCTAAGACATACGAAAAGACCGAAACGAAGACCCCAGATGTGGGGCGACCCTCTCAACTGCCTTCCCTTTCAACACTCTTTCATCTTGCTCACCATTCCACAATTCCCCAATTCCACGACTCATCATGGTGAATGTTTGCACCATGTACAGCACAAAGGCAGTGCCTCCAAAGCTGCTTCTCGCCCCGCCCTGGTGCGCGTGGCCGACGTGGCCGACGGAGCAATTCGTGCGTCCTTCACCCCAAACACAGGGAAAAGGTATCTTCACCAGAAGGGATTCACGAAACTATACCATACTATACCTAGATCTTCCAATTGTGCCCGAGGCATATTGCCAAATGTCTGCTGAGCTTGGCTGATTTTGATGGATGAAAAGGCGAACAACTGGAACCATCTTTGGAAGATCCAGGTAAAGGAAACATCAACGTTCGGAAACGCTCGCCTGATGGCCAGGGCCAGGTCGTTGGGCTCGCGGCTTCGCAACGCTCCTGCGCGATCCGGGGGTTCCGGTGATCCAGATCGTCGACTGGTAGACTGCAGACTCTTGATTAGTAACAAGAAGCTTCTAGGGGCTCCTGGCCTTACTACGAACGGAGCGTTCGGACGCTAGGAACGGGGCTCCTGGCATCGCTACGAACGGAGCATTCTTACTACTATAATAACCCCCCAATTGAAATTGGAGTCCACATTACTGACCCAATGTCTGAGGTGTGCAGTTCAATATCAGTGAGGAGGTCTGTGGTCTGTGGTGATTTGGGGCATAACAAGAAACGAGAACATCAGTGTCTTTTGCTTAAAATCCGAAGATTCCAACAACTCCAGCTTTTTGGCGCCTTGTAGCCTGGCCCTCGCAGCGTCTTTGTGCTCCTCCACCTGCAGCTTCCGCCGCGCGCCTGGCGAGGAGGGATGCGTCAGTCGGAGGGATGCGTCACCTGGAGAGTCCAGGCCTGTCTCAAGGATGTTGAGGATTCATGGCCAGAAATTCTGGGATGTCCTGAATTCTGAGCTTTAGAACTTCCTATCACTTCCTAAATTGGACAGACTTGAGTGAAGGAGGCAATCTGAATAGATGTGAAATTGCCTCTTGTTCGAAGGAATGAACAAAGCGGAAGTGGAAAACCGCCAGTCAGTAGAGAACAACCATCTTCCAAGGGGCCATGTTCGACTTCTGATAGTTAACTATTTCAAGGAGTGGACCTGGTAGATTCAACTGGCTTCCATTGGCTTCCCTTGCCTTCCAGCTCCTCAAAGTCTGCCGCCCATGCGTCCGCTTCCTGCCATCCAAGACCACCGAATTCTCCCCCGGCGACCCAGAAAGTGGTGCTTTGCTTTCCGGGTCGACAAGGGGGTCGTGACAGGTGAAGGCTTCCGGGGGAAAGAAGGCAAGCAGGGGTGGTTGCTAGGTCAAGGACTCTGTTGCCGAAGATAGACCGTTAGTGTTGAGAGATCAAGAACACCATGTGGCCCGAAAAAGCTCCTATGCCTATGGCCTCAATTTGGACACACACCTCCGTCACACCTCCCACGCTCAGGGCACCCTGACTTGTGTTCCATTTTTTCTTCCACAAAGTCCGTGGGTCATACAGCACGTTCATTAGCATATAGTAAAGGGGTTGGCTGTGCCCATGGGGATTTCTTAGTCGGGCCCACCTCGATGGCACTGCGCAGGGTATGCGAAGCCACTTGGCCCTTCAACGCCTGCAGCCAAAAACCATGCCGCAACCGTTTGGACTGGCCAGCCACCGAATTTTGTTTTGGCCAAAGATGAGGTGGAATCAATTGGATATATATTTGGATACCCTGAAGACCAAAAAGCGTACGAACTTCTGCCAAAGGAAAGATGGCTCACATGAAGGGGAGTGCTGATCAAAACTAAGCTATGATAAGTATGATTATAATCATAAAGTAGCCGAAATCATCTTTAGATCTGCCTCCCCCTAAACAAGATCTACAAGATCCAAGCTTGCGGAACCGCTCGCTCGCGAGCGGTGACTCTCTCTTGCTTCTCATCCGCTCTGCGTTCTCCGTCCGCTCGGCGAAGACCGAGATCCCCACCTGCATCAGCGACATCTCCGCCAGGGCCCGGTGGCTCGCCAAGACCTCCTCTGTGCCCTCCAGCTCAGCAGCCCTCCGAGCGAACGAGCGAAGGCGAAGGCGACGCGCGTCGCGTGCGCCGCGTGCGCGAAAAAGCAGAAAGAAGGGCCGGGCTCTCGGCTTCGAGCCGAAGCATGTGAGAAATGCGTGGAAGAACAAGGATAGATCAGGTCAAAACCCAGTTGTGGAAGAAGTGGAGGCTCAATTAGCAGAGGAAGTGGTTTTTAGATGAACATGTCCAGTTGAGAGGTTCATTCATTCGAAGGGAGGGAGAAATTATCTGTGTCAAGCAAGGAACACTTACAGTTTAGACACACCAGGGATAAATGCTACTCTGGGATGGATGGGGCCCATTCAGTCGCTCTTGTCTTGTTCCTTGGCTGAACTGCCACTGACTTCGTATGGCAACTGCAAATTTCACCTAACGAGTTCCTTCTGCCAAGGAGCTCTGCCAATCGAAGCGCTTCCTTTAAGGCCTCAGTGTCCGGTTTGGCTGAAGAACGGACAGCAAAAGGAAGAAATAAACCATGTCTCTGCAGAGGCTGTAAAGGAACATGCATCCTGACCCTTCAACATCCAACCACAAGAACTTCCTTGTACCCATGTTTAGACCTAAGTGTCCATGCACTGCCACTGGCAAAAAAAAGGAAACGAAACACGTCGCATCACCTTCTCTAGACGAGGCCCTATCTACAATGGCGCTACACACCGACAAAACACACTAATTACAACACGCCTGGTGTCGCCTCTGGTTTGAAACCAGGACACCCTGCAGGGTCCCCTGCAGGGCCCTGCGGATCATTCTGAGAGCTCCCAACAGGCACCGATCGACTCTGCATGGCCTGAGTCGAAGGAACTCTTCTCGCTGCGCGCGCGCAGCGCGCAGCGAGAATGCGCGGAGTACTGAATCTACAGATGATCTGTGCTCGAAATCGGGATTTGGGCACCAAATGGATCCATATACACCAGACACTCCATGGAACTGCATGCCTACATTGACTCCCAAGACCATTTGGCCTCCACACCCAAACCTACGCATCTGGAGAAGTGTCTCCAGGTTGAACCTCTCAAGACCTGGCCTTTCTTCGGAGAAACCTGCGCATCTTCCGCAAGTCAGGGTTCCAAAGGGGTTCAAATCCTCTGACTCCGAAGACATCCGAAGACCATACATCCAGAAGTCGGGTCGTATGTCCAGATTCTGTGCCGAAAACACGGAGTCTTAACAGGGTTGCACTCTCTGAAATAGTCATGGAAGTGGCACATAGGCCCCTATAGGAGGCCATGTTGCTCTACGAACCAGGGGGTGGCGTCATGTGCCATGAAATATGTTCAACGAATCGGAGGGTAGCACACACCAAACTCTATAGAACTGGTGAATTACATCGGTTTACATGCTTCTAGAGGGTCGGTGCACATGGACCTACGAGGGTCCGTACCTGGTTCTCAAGAACACTCTCGCAACGGCTGACACCAACGTGTTGGGACACCAACGACTGTCGGTCAGTCACGTGTGAAGCGGAAACCGATCGGATCCGGAAGCTCCAAGAGATCTCCGGATCAGGAGTCATCACAACCTCACTTATGTCTCGGGGTGGTCATGAGTCATGGGCCCCTTCTTCCACGCCCACGCCCACGGCGGCCGCGTGTGCCGCATGAGGCCGGCCTCTTTAAGCGCTTCCCGGGCACGGCCCTGACGGCCTTCCACCAGCGCCTGCAGCGCGCGGGAACGACGAACTCGTCCTACACGTTCTTTTCAGAACTGGTTAAGGGGATGGCAGGCAATCCGAAGGAAGACCATGAAATCCGAAGGCATCAAGAAAGGCCAAGTAGGTGAGCGATATAGGTCAGCTAGGTGGTTTTCACTTAGACTCCGCGTATCCAGGTCTTGAACATGTGTTCGTCGGTGTTTTTCGGCCCAAACTGTGAGGCTTCCGGAGTGTTTCAGGTGCAGGACCGACCACATCCCCTGACCACATCCATGACCGCCTTTCGGCCAGCCGATGTGGAACCAAGTGAGGTTAGTAAGGTCCAGAACGAGTCCAACTCTTAGGCCATCCAACCTCAAATGACGTTCAAGAGGGGTATAACGGGGTATAGTATGGTAATAGATGGTAATTGTATATTAGTCTCAAAACAAGGAAGGCTTTCCCCCAATCGAAAGTGGTGCGGTCTCGTCTCCGAATCAGAGTCCCGCATCGAAGGATGCCGACCCAGGTCCAGACCCTCGGACCGTTTCAGTGTCGAGTCCAACCCGGGCCCAGGGCTGTTTCATATTGTTTCATGTTCTGCAGGGGAAGCAAGAGAGGTTAAGTGGACCTGAACTAGGACCTTACTGGGGTACCTATGGGATAGTCTATAGGGTTCTTCAACCTCTGTTGGAAGCTTTAATCTTGTGTTCTAGAGAGTTAATCTTGTTTTACCAGCAAAGCACAGAGGTAGGAACACCCAGAGAGGTAGGCCTTGCAGGGCCGAGGTGGAGTTTCATACTCAGGGAGTTAAGCTGAACACAACTTTACTCTTCGGGTTCCGCTCATCTTGGATCAACCCCAGGGAGATCCTTTTGACTTCACCGTCGCGGCTTACCTGGGACAGCATCAACTCTAAACCCCATATAGCAACTGTAAGAAAATCTCTGGCAAAGTCCCCCTCAAAACAGGCATCTTGCCCCTCTCAGTGGGTGGAATAAATGTTTGAAGTGGACGTCTTTGTACCCGGAAGCGTCGGCGGCATCCATCTGAGAAGGGTTTGGAACTAAAAAAGCACCAGGCAGATCTGAGATGCTGAAGTCTGGGTAGAAGCAGTGACTGAGAGCTGCTGGTCAAGTGATGGGCTAAATGGAGGAATCACAGCTAAAACTCAACTCCATATTTTGGATGGCAATTCTATATCTGAGTATGAAAACACAACAACTGATTCTTCCAAAGGTATTCCAATGTTAATCTCGTTTGTTCATGCGAATTCCACGGCGATCAAAGTGATGGGCCTCTTCGAAGGGCTCGAGTTCCTCCTACAATCTGGGCAACGGACCACATCCAGCCCATCAGGATTAGGACAAAACCCAATAAACTTCAACTTAACCCTACAGTATGAGTGGATCCCGGGTTGCCGTTTACAAACGAATTCTCCTCATTCCTCCTCAGCTGGACCACAGCCAGGCCGCTGAAAAGTCTGAAAAAGAAAACAGAAACATCACCGCCAACGTCTCGGACCCAGGAGGATCTCTACCTCCACGTAGACGTCGCAATCGGCTCGTCTTTGGTCAACGGGTCCTCCTCCAAAAAGCCTTCCGCTTCTTTCAAGGCCTGCGCCCCATCACCGCAACAACGTGTTTTTGCGGGGGAGAGGCTTTGGGAGTTCAAACTTGGAAACCGTTCACATGACTCCAGATTTTCTATCCAGAATGCCAAATTATGAATCATGGAAGTGGACTTCACCACCTGTTTGTCCAGGAAAATGGTCATCAAGCGGGCCCTGCCATCTACTTCCATGACTAGTTCACCGAGTGTAGATGCTAAGATCTGGAGAACACTTGGAATACCAAACAAATGTTTCTTCAGGTAGGGCTGAGGAATGAAAACGATTCAGAATTCTGCCTCAAGCAAAACTAGGAAACCTAGGCTCTAGACCATAGGAAGAGCAGCCTGAAAAACATACAATGCAGATGCAAATTGTTTGGACTGACAACACAACAAGAACAAGAGCAAAACAACCTGTTCCAATATGTTCCAATGTCTGTTCATCCAACAAACATATGCAGTAATTGTTCTTGCTTCCAATTCTCACTGCTTGAGCATTAACTGGGCGGCTACCTCGCCTCAACCAGCAGCTCCAAGTCGCCGGATGCCTCAGCCTCAATCATGAATCCGTTCGTGCCGGCGAAGAAGGATGATGGTTTGTCTCACGAAAACGTGGTTTCCTTTGTCAAAGAGACATGAGGCAAACAAGAATTCAGAAACAAGTTTCAGGTGCAAATTAAGGGGAACACATGCTGCATGTTCAAGCATGTGTTGTTTCATATTGTGTATTTCCATGCAAATGCAGCTTCCAGCTGGGTTACTCCAGTCTTGTTCGAGACATCTCCATCTCCATGAAACATCACGACTCTGCAGAGTCAAAGCTGTATGGTGCAACACAGAAGTTTCAAGAAGGCGATCTGAAAACAATAACCCTCTTGAAAATGAGACCCTGACAATGGCTCCCTGGAAGAATGGAATGGCTTCCTGGAAGACTGGAAGATTGCTTTACCTCTACCAACCAGTGGTTTTCAGGGTCCATGTTGCTCTTCCAGGGTGTAGTGCTTTCTTGTGAGCGCGAAAAAGGGGGCTCCAAGCAAAACCGTTCAACTCCTATGCGCAGAATCTGAGGCTGGATCTCTGAAAGCCTACAACCCAATGTTTTGGAGGTTCCATCCTAGCAAAACATTGTACCTTCACTTTCCCTTCACTCCTTCAGTGCAAATTTTAGGAGAGGTCACAACTACAGTGGTTCCACAATGTCCCACCCAGTATAAATATATATATATATGTTCCTGTTGGGCCCTGCATGCCCTTCCTGGCCCTGCATGGCCCTGCACGGTGCTTCGAAGAAGAAGCGGGTGTCGTGGCTCTCTGCAGCTGGGTGGCTTTCTGGAGTTTGGACATGAGCTTCATGTGTTTCTCCACCTCTTGTAGAACCTCTCAACCCCGCCGCAGAAAAACATACAAAACATGAGAAAAACGCAAAAAACACGGAAAAAACGAAAACGCACAAAGAAAACGCACGGAGGCACATGCAGACTGCTAGGCAAACAGCTTCTTGTTCATTTCATCATTCCTTTCGATCAGTCTACAGTATTATACAGTATACTGTTGGATCAAGGGGAGATCCAAGGAGTGTTTCCAAAGTTTTGTTGGGATTTGTGGCAGTGGCCATGGAAAAGGCTGCCGGCCCTTGTTACAGTGATGGTGGTTGGACAGTCGTTTGTGTGCTCATCCTACATTCCATCTGCTTGAACGTGCCTAACAGTGCAGAATTATGGCATCAGTTGTTCTGGTGCTATTGCCCTCAAAAGGGCAAGTTGAGTGGCTATATCCAAACACTAGTGGATTTGGGGAACAACTCAACCAAACCTGTGGTGTTTCTCGTCATATGTTCAACAATAAGTCAACCGTCCAACCTATCCAATCGTCCAACTGTCCAACCTCCTCTGCATCAGCCGCATCATCCTCGTCGACCTTGGCATCCTGCAAGGGTGGATAAGGCGTGGATAAGGCCATGACATGGAAGATCTGGCCAAAACACAACCAAGTCATGTCATCTCACCGTCCTTAGCCCACTTGATCGCCCACTTGAGCTTCTCATACTGCGCAGGTCGGGCAAGGGGACGGCGACGCCAGGTTGATGGTCGGATGGGATTGCTAGGGGTGGCAGTTCTGGTCATGGCATCATGGCATAGCGGCTTATGAAGAGCTCCAAAACTGCTATTATTTTCAGAGAAATCGGTTTGAAACGATGAATACATATGAATAACACCTGTTCCTCTCTTGTCTTTCCCAAAAAAAACAATCAACGACTTCGAATTACCTCCGAGATTCCGTCCATCCTCTCCACCCACGAATTCGATGACTGCTTGGCCAAGCAACCTCTCTCTTCTCGACGGCATCTTCCAGCTTCTCCGCCGCCTGGTGAGAGGCCAAGAGGATACAACGAACATCTCCGAATTTCGTCGTGAAAGTGAAGGACAAAAGGCTGCAGTTGAACATGCCAACCAGAACCCAGGGCTTTGCGCAAAAAATAATAGGCCAATATTTTTGAGGGAAACCATATGTCAAGCAAATCCGTTCGGCCACGAGCATGAGCCGCAAAGCAACAGACTGTGTACAGACTGCACCTCGTCCATCTTCTTGATCTCTTTCTGTGCCTCAATGGCGACGGAAGTTCTGCAAAAGGTCAAACGTGAAGACTAAGAACATTCCAAAAGAATCCAAAAGACATGGTGCCAGCACTGGTGTCAGCTTGTCTGCTCATCTTGTCCTAAGAATCCGTCTGCCTGTCACGGCAGACTTCAGGCCCCACACCTTCGCAGGGGTCCGACCCGTTTAAGACCCTTTTGATGTGAGCCCAGATTCTTGGGGTGACTTGTGAAGGGTCTAGGGTTCGCAGGACTCATAATTACCCACAAACACACATAGTCCTCTACATGTCGGACATGTTAGTTATACACATTCCAGAGACGGCTGGAAACCACCGGATTGGCTTCTGTGAACAAGCTGCTAAGCCTTCAACTAAACAAGCGGCATAGGAGAATTGACCTCGGGGCTGATCCTACTTGCCAGTTCCTTTGAACCAAATATAAATTAATACGATTCCTGCTCGCAGGAAAACGCCATGAGAACTGCAGAACTGAGTGGCGTCCATGGCGGCTTTCATCTCCATGTGCGAGAGTCCAGCCTCCGTGCTGTGAAGACACTTGTTGCATTGGCCAAGCATACCAGATCTATTGGCAATCGGGAGATCTTCTTTGAGGCCTCAAATCCTGAACAGTCACACAAACCAAGACTGTCAGACCATCTGCGGGAACCCAGTCGCCATTCGTGGCAGAATTTTGTGGCCACGAGATGCACCAGTGCCTCATGTGCCAGCTCCAAGGCTTGCTGGATATGATGCAAGCCTCGAGGTGAAGCCAGTCGACTTGGTCTCGAGACGGATCAAAACGCTCATGTTTTCTGGACCAGACGGGTCCAAGCGACGGATGTGCACGGTCCAGCTGCGGTTCAAAGGACAATGCGTATCATGCCGCATAGGTCGCCTATCTGACCTTTTTCTTGATGGGAAGCTTGGGGTGGTGTTTGTGGTTCTATGCCTATGCATGTATTTAGCAATATTTGGCAGGCAAGAAAGATGGTTGATGAAGTGGTACTTGGACCGAGAACATGTCAAGGGTATAGGATGGGGCGGATCACTAGCACGAGTCCTGTGATGTCTTTCCTCTTCGATGGTCAAGCATAAGATCATCTTTCGCACCTGTAATGTGACAAGCATCTAACCGAAAACTACACCCCAAGGTAGAACACACACACAACAACTGAAACGAAACACAATAAAATTGGTTGGCATATCCATTTGTTGGCCACTTGTCATTGCTCATACTTTCTCATTTAACTATTCAAACACCAACAGCTATCTAATTGTTTGTCCATTCTTCCTAACGAAGTCGCCCATAAGTCCGCCTCGTCTCACAGCGGCCGGCTCCTGTGCCCGACCCGGTGCTGCCAACCCGGTATCTTGTTTCCCAGCTGGGCTCCAGTGCTCTTCAGCTTCTTGCCCTGAGCCAAGGCCTTGGACCGCGTGTGTTCCTTGTTCTGGGTGGAGCGCTGGGCCGAATGAACGGGAACCGAACGGGTTCCAGAGGCCTTTTGGGTCGTTGCCAGGCACCAGCTCTCTTGGTGGTTCAAAGTGGTTCGCCTGAGGCTATCCCGCTCTATTCTTCAACGACCAAGCAGTAGTAAGAGGTCATCTATGGGTCCGCTGGGGGTCCGGTGGATTGTGGACCATGGTGGACCATGGAGGACATCAAGGAAGATCCAATCTCATGAATCTGGTGATCTAAAAATCAGCGACCTTCTCCCAGGTCTTTTGTGGCACCGTGTAGCACCAAGACAAAACGAAGCACCCAAAGTCTCAAAGTCTGTTTCAGCCTCAGTGGCATAAGGTTGACTCTGGATTCGGGCGTCGTTTCTCATGTTCAACTCAGCTCGAAAGATCAACTCTGCAAGTTCGCATCTCGACTCTGGATTTAGGGCATGAACTTCTCTTCAATCGTTTGCTTCTTTTACAGTTCGACACCCATAAACCTGGCCAAGCCCCCATCTCCCCTCTCCCATCCTCTCCCGTCCTCCACACCACCCCTTTTTCCCTTGGGCGCATGCCGCACACGCCCACGCTCCGCTGGAAAGCGCTCCGGGCTCACCGAGGGCGCCGCGTAGCCGTCGCCGGCGTTCGGCCAGCGCCAAGGCTCGTGGATCTGCTCGGCCGGAAGGTGGCGCAGCTCGGGGAGCCACGTGCGCAGGTAGGCACCTGGTGGAGCTGCCAGTCTATGTGTTTTGCGTGGTTTGCAATATGGTGTTGCCACACCTTATATCAAACAGATTTGCTGATCTGCTAGCATGTTCTAATCAAAGATATGCAAGAATATGCAAAGGTGTCTCATTCCGAATCCACTTCGACCAACCAATCAAAAGATATGGCCCTACTTGTTGGATCTTGTCGGTGTGAACAACTGAAAAGCTCAAACACTTTGCCAGTGAATTTCTTGCCAGATTTCCAATGGTATCTCCGGGACAACGGACCAGTGGATCAGTGGTCTTGCACATTTCCTTTTCGTCCATGTGTCTCATTGTTTCTCTTCACTTGTCAAACTGGTGCACTCCCCTTCACTTTCGCACCAACGACCATCCAAACCCCAGCACCTATTCCTACCCTCTTCCCGCCTTCTGGATCGTACTGCTTCGACTGCTTCACCACGTTGAAGCGATTGGTCCGGTTCCCCACCAGCCCAGCAGCCATGACCCAGTTGCACCAGTTGGAGCAAACGTCGTAGTCCAGCAACTGGCTCTCGAACCACTCGGCACCCCGACGCCAGTCCACCTGGCCCAAGGAAGGTGATGGTCCCATCTGAAAGGATGCGCCCAAAATCATCGGCGCCAGCGCCGTCACCCTGGAGATCTAATTTGATCACTTCTCCCCTCTTCATTCAGCAAACTCGACCGTCCATCTGACCGTGTCTACCCGTCTTACCCGTCTCTGCCAGTGGTTCCATGGGTACCGTTCTCTTGTCAATCGCCACCCATGGCTTGTCTGGGGTTTGTCCTCCAGTCGTTCGGGCCCAGAGCACTTGCAGGTCCAGGATGAGAAAGGACGCCACGTTTTGGCGCCCCCGGTTGGACATCCATCCAGTCGCCCGTAGCTCTCGCATGTTGGCATCCACCAAGGGATACCCCGTCTTCCCATTGATCCAAAGCTCAAACTCCTCAGGCGTTGTGTGGAGAAACGGGACTATGACTGATGGAAAGCAAACAGAATGCCTTGAGAGCCTCAGGGTCTTCAGCATCCAGCATGCATACTCCGGAAGAGCAAGAGGTGGACTGAGCAAAATGAGCTAGCTTAAAACCTTCAAGCAGTCCTGACAAGAATCTCTTTCACATTGTTTGGATGAACATCGCATGGACCATCCCCAAATTAGTCACCGCTGGGGGATTGCTTCTGTAACCTGCAGATTGGTTCCCACTCTTTTGCCGGTGATGAATGTCCAGGCCTTCAGCTTCTTCTATCCCAACCAATCATTTCGGCTAAACACGTCCGCTAAACATGCTAAACACATCCGCTACATCTCCCAACACCAGGCACCTGAGCTGGCCCCCCCCCAAAACACCTGACTCACTTGCTGACCCGCTCTGTCCCCCCGCACCTGGTCTCCACCGCGCCAGACCGGCCTCTCCGGCGCCAGGCCATGAGGGTGGAAGATCCGGGCGCCGTGCTTTCGGGCGAAGAAGTGGAAGAAGTCGCGGACCAACAGGCTGAAGGTGAACCTAGTAGCAAAGGGCATCGCTACTAGTAACAAGGGCATCGCTATTAGTAGCTAAATTGCTACTAGTAACAAGAAGGCACTAGGAACAAAGGGCATCGTTGTTTCGTTGGCAGACTCCTGAGCCGTTTCTCCTGAGCCGTTTGTTGGGTGAGCCTGCTGTTTTTGGTCAAGTGAACCTGCGAGCCTGTTTTGTGTTCCCCTGCGAGTGTCTGTTCTTGTTTCGTTCGTTGGTCATGTTGGTGAAGGCATGTGAGGACTTGCAGGATGGATTTTTTGGGGGTGGAGGCGCAGAACTGAAGGGGTTGGTCGATTGATGAATAGGGTCGGGGGGGTGAGTGGCGGGGAGTGTTTGGTAGCAAATTGGGTTTGTGAGGGGGGGATAGAGGAACCTTTGGGGGCGAGAAGAAATGGAGCTGGAGCTGGGTCACCTGCTAAGGGAATAACAACTGCAGAAGGAATAGAATTTCAAGGGAATTGGTTTTAACGGTATTAACATGTCGTATTAAACGTATTTCAATTTAACAATGGAATTTCAATGAAGGGGATTTCAAGCTTTTTCACCTGATCAATCTGTTTTCTTGTAAGTACTCTCCGCTGACAAAAAGGCGACAGGACCTCAAGCCAACCTCAACCTGTGATGACCTCAAGAGTGCCGTATTGGTTGGGCAGTTGGGCCCAGGTCCAACATCAATGGACAGTAAACACCCAAAATGGAAATGCATGGAAACTCTCTACCAAGTGAACATGAGTACAGTAAATGGCACTTCCCAACAAGTACAGAAAATGCATAAAAATCGACATGTTCAAGTTCTTTTTCGTTAGAATCTGCTTCTACTGTTGCATTGCACTGAAAGTCCGATCTTTCATCTGAATCTGAAGGAGGGTCTGGTTCGAAGCCCTGGAATCATGGCAAAGCGTTTATGTAAACCACTAAGACAGCTATCCTTTATCCTCTGTTACGCTCTCTCTCGCTCTCTCTCTCTCTCTCTCTCTGGGCTCTCTCTCTCTCCCCTTCTGACCAGGGATGATTAGTGAATATAGGCAGCCTTAGTCGAATCAGTCTGAAAGTTACAGCCTTCTGTCAAAGTGACCAGTATGTGGAAGCGGATGCTCTATTGCTCGCTTCCGTTCGGCGCAACGCTTGAAAGACTTGCCGTGGGGAGAGGCAACCATTTGCAAGGTATGGGGACAGCTTGCTGGAAGCGTCAAAATCCAGCATGTTGTTTCCTGAGTCTTTTGACATGTCCAAATTGTCAAATCCCTCAAAAAAACATGCACACCAAACATCAAACAGTATGAATCATCCAAAAATAAGGAATATGACGACACCGACCAATGATCCATCTCAAAAAGCGTCTCGTCTCAGCATAGCTCCAGATGGGCCCCGCCATGAACTCCTCCAGTCGTCGCAAGGCTGCCCCTTCGCCCCCTTCGCCCCCGGTCCGAGAGGGCCGCGGGAGGTCCACCCAAGGGAGGTCCTGCCAGGAGGGAACCTCAGAAACAGGGATGATTCAACAAATGGATGAATTGGACTCAAATGAATAGATGATAGTAGATGGATGATGATTTAATTGTTTAATGATCCAAAAATGTTCAGATGGGTGCTCTCTGTTCTCTTCCAACACCAGATTGTTGGTCCATAATGTTTGAGCATGCTATTCTGCACACGGTTTGCAAATGCTTTTATCATTCTACGCGAATGCTTCGAAAGCACTGGTTTCCGGCATGCTTTTGGGTGGACTACACGTCGTATCTGCCAAGCAGGGCCTATGCCCTTCCTGTTGCTTGCAGGGATTTACCAATCAAATGCTGGACAGGTCTTGTAGATTTCGGATGACTTGGCACACATTTTCACTCTTGGGAAAGCGATCTCCCCAATCAACTCGGTCGACAAACCAAAAGGGCAGGGGCCTTGAATCGCTGACCATTGTTCATGATTATGATTCTACACATTCTGTGCCACCATCTGCCACACAAGGACAGTCTCTCAAACCCACCGGTGCAGGTGAGTGACATGTCCAGCAGGAAATTCACAAGAACCAGTCTTTAAATGGCTCTTCTCGGAATCTTCACCCACCACCCATCCAAATTCCGATAGACAATTGCCAACTGGGACGCTTTAGACTTTCCTAGACTGGACCTAGAAGGACAGTAGGAGAGGACTTGTCCTAGTCTAAACTGTCCTTCTTTACTTACTTCATCTTGTTTCTGCTCTTTTACAGCAGGACACTTTCGCCTCGACCTAGACTGCACTCTCCAAGCCCGAAACTCGGACGTCACCCAACGCCAGGTCACCTCGCCGAAATCCAGGTCTTGGGGCTGCGGAAGAGATCCAGCCTTGGCCAGAAACAAAAATGGACCGGAGGAGGTTTGAAGACCTTTGAAGAGTCATCGTGAGATGTCCCTTGGGACACGTTTCACGGCGGATTACACCCAATTCAAAGGTCTTTCCAAAGATTGACTCAGGTTGTTTGGGGAAAACCAACACTGGTGCCGTTCAAAACCATCGAATTTCTCTTGAGAACCTGAGGTGTACTTTGGGCATCGAAAGGAAAGGCTTGAACAACCATTGACCAGCCTTGCGAGGTCACATCCCCACTGTTTCCCACTTAGCCACCTTCAGTTCGTCAAGGACTTCTCGAATCCTCAAAGAACCAACCTCCGCACGACCAGCTTGGGCTTCGCCGTCTGGATCATCCTCGTACTGTGGAGGGATGCCATTGCAGGCGCACGCCAGGGAGGGCGCCACCAGGTTCTTAAAGCGCGTAAAGACGTCCGGCATGTCACTCCTCAAGATGTGCATTCATGATCATTCATGTATGCTTTTGCTATCTTTTGCTCGATTCGTTTGGACGTGCTCAGAAACGTGGGGCAAGAAGCCAACCTAGAAGCCGTATAAAATTATGTTTCTAGAAGCAACTAGTAACAAAGGGCATCCCTACTAAGTATAAGCATGTTTCATGTAGACCGTGTAGACCCCTAAAAGCTGTTCCATGTTCCATGTTCGCTCACACTCGTGACTCACAAGGCGTTGGATATATTTCATGAGCCATGAGCTGGATGAGCAACCAACCCTGGTCTCATCGCCTGTAGAAGTATTTCAAATGCAAACTCAAAGTGCATATAACTCAATTTAGCAGCTCCACAAACTCGCAAGGAGGTTATAAGGAGGTGAGTGCCCTGGCTTCGTCAATGATCAACACGCCCTTTCATGAAACTACGTTACAGTAACATTATGAACCAACAAAAATAAGCTTGTTGAACAAATGGCAAGTCCCTAAAGCTAAAGCGGGCATCGGTCTAGACTCTAGACCTGGACCATCCAAATGAACCGCAAACAACATGGCGTTTGCACTCTCAAACAGCCAAAAGCCAGTCTCTTCACTTGCCAGATCAGATTCAGATCAGCTTCGAAGGGTAAATCCTCCTTGTGGATCAAGGTCCGCCCCCAGCAATACTCCCACGTGATGCCCCGCAAGCTCAACTTCTTCTGCAGCAAGCAGTCCTCACGTCCGCGGACTCTGCGCGGACTCATCGTGCTCCACGACCCACACGAGTGATGTGAGTGATTTGGCAGGTGAGGCCCACAGAGAAAATCCTTTGACAGTGTTTCAGAGTAGATGGCACAGACCCCAAGATGTCTTTTAGATGGGGGTCCATATCGTTCATGTCTGTTCACAGTCTCCAATGACCGACTGAAAGGAGTCGCTTGCCCGCCAATGATTTACACTGATTTCTTAAGACAATATGTTCCCATTTTTTGAGAGCATGTTTGCCAAGTTGTGGGAAGCGGATCACAGATCTGCCTTGATTTTGGCGCAAAACCTTGGATCGATCTTGGATGAGCTTGGTCTATCGGAGCATGACGTTCAATCATCTCAGTATCTCAGACTGATGCTCGATGCAATATCATGAAACGTCACGAAATCTCCTATGGCCATAGCTCATCTTAGAATTGTTTTCGATATCGATTGACTAATCGATGGATAACACATTAGTCTAACAAAACCATCCCAAACACATTCATCCAAGACTCCAGCGCTTTCTCTTCAAAGGTACTTTCTTCCTGTGTGATCAGGACAGACCCCGACACCTCGTGATCCGCTGACGGCACTGACCGTCGCAAAAGGTCTGGTAGCACCTCCTCCGGCGCACCGATGCCTGGCAGCGCCGCCGGGGCGGTCCCACCCGTGGCCCCCCGGTGGCGCAAAAAACCACCAAAACGAGGTCCCATCTTCCGGCGGAGCCTGGTCACTGGTTTTTGGTCAGGTTCATGAGATGTCAGGATTACATTCTGGTACTCATTCTGGTTATTCTGGTCAACTCAACTTGTTTCACATCTGAAAGTGTGAAACCCCTTGATGAATCACTGTCCACTTCCCTGATTTTCCCAACCTCCCACAACCTCCACAACCTCCAAATCGTCAGTGACCAAGTTGCGAATCAGCAGCTCTGAGCCCAACTCTCGCAACCTCCCCTTGAGATCCCCCAGCGACTGCAGCAGAAACTCTGCGCGTGCGGCGCCCGTGCGCGGCGCGCTAAGCAGCTGCTGGGACGGGGTGAAGTGACGAGGATCCAAAATGTAGAGCACCAGCACCGGCCGAGCAGACCTGTCGGGTGTTTGGTGTTCGTCGCATCACTCAAATCCATCATCCAGCATCTTGATACGATGGAAATTCGGCAGAAACCAGCAAGAGTCCCTCTCTGCCCAGTCTTGCAGGTTGACCCCCTTTTTGTGGATTGAGCTACGCGAACATCCTCACTCGGCTGCCTCGCAGACAGCTCGGCTGCTCTGGACAAGACCTGAAGCACTGCCCCACATGCAAGCGAGACACTTGCAAAGCACAACTTTAAACAAAGAGCTTGCATTGCAGGTCTGCTTTCCTATTTAGGATGGTGCCCAAATAGTATTATGCCGTAGAACTCCAGGTTCTAGCCGCCACAGGGGGTTGCCGGATCGCAGAAAACCCCAGCTTTCACACACCTGGTTGAACCCATTTGGTTGAAGATCAGTTCACCAAAAGTAGGTCCGGTGGATCATGGTGGCTCCAACCATCTGGAACAAAACAGCTAGCACAACCCCCAGAAAAGGATCCGTGAGGAGCACTCCTCCTACTTCTGAGTCACTACATGATCTGCTTGGTAGGCTGCAGCCACCCAAGACAAACTGCCCTCCTTCCGTGGGATCACTCCTCCACCCAGCTCCAGGCACTGGCGAGTCTTGCGTGCGGAGGTCGTTCCGCAGCCAGCAGCAGATCATCAGCGCAAGAAACGCATGCGAGGCAAGCGATATGGGTGTGTATTTTGATGGGGAGACTCCCAACCGGGTTGGGATGGTTTGGGTATATGTTCCTTCTTCCAAAGGGGTCGAACTGAGAAGTCTCCCTACTTTAATACACATCCGTATTGAGATAGAAAACGATTCCACTGAAGATCCTACTGCTTAGAATAGAGGTCTTGTATGGTCTTGTCCACTCTTCGTGCTTTATATTGCCCACAGATTGTTTGGGGAGGGGATACCCCAGCAGTACTTCAGTCCATTCAACATGCAAAAACAACAGAACTTCAGTTGGTGTGAGTCAGTTGCGCTCCTGCATGATGTCTCGGGTTCTTCTTCCAATAATTACTATTCCTATAACAATAATTCTCTGATAAAGCTGGTTTTCCAGGGAGAAGTAAGTAAAGGCAGCTGATTTTAGTAGTTCATTGATTCAAGCCTCGTTATTGGTATCTCAGACTATGCCCTCATCCGCAGAGTCGTCTGCACATGAACGAGCAAGCTGTGAGGAGCAAATGCAACTGCAATCACGGACAAACTGAATGGTACCAGTCTGCAGTATATGCCATGCAATGTATCTATATAATATGTCATCTGGTGACAAACAAAGTCCCTAACCCTCTGGCCCGCTGATAGACTATCCCAGCATTTATCTGACTTGGTGCTGCACCATCACCTACTGTCATGACCTTTGAACTCCTGTTGCGTATCTTCATTCTGCTTCGATTCTCCAAACCACCATGCCACCACCACCGCAGTTCAGGGTGAGTGTTCTCACCCTCACCACCCGACCCACCCGATGCTGCACTACTTGAAACAGGCTTCCCCACTTGACAGGCCTGGAGCTTCTTCACTTGCTCGGCCATGACCTGTCATGTGCTGAACACGCCACACCACGACACCAACCCGCGCGCCGTGGTCCAAAACATGGGGAGTCGGAGACTGCTTGGGGGCTGCGCGAGTTGGAAAAACAGCTCTCTCTCTCTCTCTCCCTAATCAAGAAGAAGACCAGTGCATGTTTGATCCTGGTTGGTTTCTTCCTCTACCCAGAAGTGGTTGAGTCCAGAAGTGGTTGAATCCAGTGTGCATTGCCCGAGGACCAGTACATGTGGAGTCCAGAGGTGTTGGCAACCTTTGATTGAAGTGGTTACAGTAAACTCCTTGCTTGGGAAAGGCTTCATGAGCTACTGGCAAGCTTGGGACCGATGCTGCCTGTGGGGGCAGTTTTCACGAGTTGTTCAGGCTTCCTTCATGAACGACATGGCGAGTCTAGCTTTTCTACTGAATTACATCATATCCCATTATAATTACTATTCTACCTCTGTCCAACATCATACATGGTCACTGTAGCCGTAGCCCTGCACATCCCTTGACTTCGCACCGGCACGTGCCGCAGCTCGCTCTCTTTCGTCCTTTTCGCAAGCGATCCGAGGCTCAAAAGAGCTGGTCCGTCGTCCAGTCGAGCTGGGTCGAACCCCCCGAACACCATGGCTGCTGAACAGGGTCAGAGTGATCTAAAGAATAGGCATGATCGGTCTAGAACATTGCACATGTCATGGGGTCTAAACCCCCCCCGGATAAATGGTGGAGTTACTAGAACTTCTGATCCTCGGCACAACTGCCAACAAAATCAGTATCGCCATGTATCGCCTCTAGTTTAGACTCCATGATACTCCATGCTTTCAAAGGTCCAAAGTCCCTTTTTCGTGGAAGTCCAACCTAGGGTTCCAAACGAAGTAGGCAGCCTCGAGGAGCATCTGAAGGTGGCAGTTTCGCTCTTTTCCCCTTTGGCACCCGGTGAACTGGGTGAGGTCCGGTTGGTCCAGCGGTTTCTGGTCATCTATCTGTACAATCCAACGCATCATCACACTGCACGAGGCCAGTGCAGTGGCCCAGTATATATGTACAATGAGAGTCTCTCAAGAGCCAGAGAGCTGCAACAGCAAGGTTGATTTGGTATCTCTGGGTTAGTGGTTGCAATTAAAGGTTTTAGGTTAGCGCGACTCATGTCAGTCACGGCCGGATTGGCTAAAGGTTGGAAATAGATGGAAATAGAAGTATCTGAAACCCATCACTCAGATCTTGATGCATAGTGACCCCAAGAGGCTACGCGGGTGCGTGGACTGCGTCAGCAGTCTCTGCACGGGGTCACTGCGACAGGCGGAGGACGAAGCGTTTGATGCGCTCCTGCCAGGGCTGGTCGGTCGATGTATGGGTCATCCTTAAACGGACAAGATATGAAAGGGAATTGGACTCTTTCAACTTAGCATGGGGACTTTCGTTCTTCTCCTTACATTGGAAAAAAACAGTTCAAAAGGTCGCCTTGTCCATAACCCATACTTGACAAGACCTTCGAATACAACACACAATAATCACACTAAGTAATCCATATCGATACCCAAACATGGATGCTGCGAACGGCTCGGCAGGACTGACAGATCTTCAACAAACCTTCACCGGGTCGAACCGCAGATGTTCCACTTCCGACCTTGGGAGCTCTAGTGACTCTAGTGGGCACACCAGGGCTCCAAGCGGGCTCACCTGAGCGAACCTGGGAATCCTGAGAGTGACACTCCCTGAAGAAATCATGAAAGTGGATGGAAGTGGATGACAAGGCCCTTTGGAAGACTCATGGTCCTCTACAAGGGGGGTCCTGGTGAGCCATGACAGCCCATCATGATTGCTGGAGGAAGACTTAGTCATGAACCTTTTATCCACCTTTTCTGCCTAGCTGTGCTGCCTAATATGAGCCAGCGAAGCCTCCAATGGTCAAGGACATTCCTCCTCTAAGGGGGATGCACAAACATCATCGCACCGCGTGGTCACCCAGGCTCCCTAATGTAGAGTCTTGATTGATCACCCCCTCATTTGAATTGAACAACCTCTTCATACTAGTATCGGGTGGTTTATGGGTGGTTGTCTGGTCCTCAAGAGTCTACATGAACTTCATGAAAAGGACGTGAAACTCACCACATCACCACCACATCTCCCGGCATCACCACCAGGTGATAGCGGCGTCTTTGGTGTGGCGAACGAACGAACGGCGGAGACCGGGGCTCCGAGCGCAACCCTCTTCCAGCCGCTCCCGGGATTGCGCGTAGGAGATCCTGTGGTGTGGGATCTTGACTGGGCGACTGGGCGACTGCAAGGCCCGCAACGATCACAACGACGCACTGCAGAACGGGATGTTTTAAAAAAGGAGAGGTCAAAATCCAAAATCAATGGCGCCAATTGCAAAGAGTCTTCATTTGGATTCTTTGCAGTTGCATCATGGTTGTATCCATGTTCAAGCTGTGAAGTCCAACCTGCCGAAGAAAAGCGCAGGTCTCTCCTTACCAATCCATCACCTGCAGATCCAAAGTAGCGGCCATCCAACAAGGAGACGCCCTCCTCCTGGAGCTCCGGAGCGTCGTCATTAGCATCCGGTGGCGGATGCATCGCGTGGCGTAGCGAATTCCACCCCCCGACTGGTGTCCTTTTATACACCGACTCACAGAACTTACTAACATGAAAGTGGACACCACCCTGATCTGTAGAGGAAAATGGTCATCCAACGGGCCATTTTTCACTTCCAAGCTAGTGAGTCAGAGGCGGAGGGTAATGCTTGATTCAAAGATCGTGTGGGGCTGTGGTGATGACTGAGGGCCATCGGCAAACTTGATCAACTGAGAAAGTAGGATCGGCTCTTCCCTGTCTTCAAGATGGTCAAGTTAGTCTGACGTGGATATGTGAAAAAAGAACACAAACAAGTCGGAGAGCCAAACAAGTATGGTATGGATCACAGTGGATGTAGTTTCGCCAGGGATATCCGGGGTGAATGATTGTGTAAATATGTCCACCTGATCAATGTGTGGCAAAGTATTGGCACAGCCGAATCTGTCAGAAACTGCGACGAACCAGAACATGGATGTCATCCCAAGGCCGGACATCCCCCCAATCTGATAAGAGTTTTGACCAATGACATTTTCCTGGTGGACAAATCCGTCCATTCCAAGTCTATGACTTGAGGCAACGACCAGCAGGTACATGGGAAAACATCTTCACTAATCTTCACTCTGTTTCTGAGTCCAGGAACCCCCTTGATTTTGCACATCCATATCAATTGAACTTTTGAAGCACCGTTACACAAATATGAACATACCATACCATACCTACCTAATAATATATCACCAGCTATAGCAAGTATATCCGGACTCTTCCAATTTGTGCCATCCCTATACCATCTATACCCACTGACTTCAGATTCGAACACACCTTTGGCCCCGTACTACCAACGGGTGGTCCAAGAAACGTGCTCCGAACTCTTCCAGCGACCCCAGCGGCTGGCTCGTCCTCCAGCAAACGGCTGGCGAAGTCGCGTGAACTGAGCCCCGTTGCGGTCACGTTCGCCAGGAGATACCTCCAAATTGAGGGGGGGAGATGGAGGTGGATGGATCCGGAGCAAGCTCTAACATGGATAACATGGGGAAATGATGCGATGAAAGTAGGGAATGAGGGTGACTGCCCCCCCAACCAATAGATAGTCATTTGATGTAATTTGATAATCTATATTAATTTATGTAAATAATTGTAAATTGTAAATATGTAGACATATGATGTCAGATCCAGCCGCCCTCATTCCTTACAAAGCAAAGAGATGCTGGTTGATCTGGGTATTTCTTCCACCCTCTCCACGGGGTCATGTGCTGCTGAGGTGCATTGCTCCGGCGGGTTTGACCGCGATGGAAATGCCCGGAAGCTGTCCCAAGCGCTCGTAGAGCAGGTCGCGCCTGGGACGTGGTGCCCTAGGGGTCTCCCCCGGTGTTGGAGGTTGGAGAGGTTGGACAAGCAGCAAGGGCACGATGCAGGAGGCAACAGGCAACCAGCATATGCCTGTGATAATAAGGGAAGATAGGGGTAGTGGACCCCACAGGGACGTTTTGGAGGAAATGCGTTTGTTGGCGAGTCGTCCTCTATTTCAGGACCATTTGCCATTTAGAAGAATCTGTAGCCTTTAGGACTGCCAACCACCGACAAGGAAGAAGGCCAATCCGCAGTTCCAATGCTACTGCCAGTCTGTGTGTCACCGTCGCCGTGGACATCCTGAATCAGTACCTCACTGAATAAGAAGTGAAATGCATCCATCGGACTGTCACTCTGCATAGACCAGCACACTAGCACTGAAACCGCTTGGAAAGCATGCGTCAGTTCAGTCTATATCAAGCCACGGCAGCACCGGTGACGTACAGTAGACGTTATAAATCACCCAATATGTGTTCTCCATCCCCAAGCTCGCCACGACGGCAGCCCCGTTCCTGAGTTCCCCAAGCCGAGCCATGTACTCCATCCGCATGTAGTCCAATTCCTCCTGCCAGTCTCAAACGCCTGCTTCTTCTTTTTCTTCTTCTTCTTCTGCCTCTTCTTGTCCAAAGCAGCACTTTCCAGTCCAGAAAGCTGATTTAGTTCCAGTGTCTGGTGATTGAAGGTCTCTGAAAGCCCCTCCCCCATGTCACAGGCTTCGGCAGCCCTCACTTCATCATTAAACCAGTTCAACCAACATCAACCAACCCCCCGCACCACACAAACAACAAAGGGTGATATATTCGGCATCTGACGTGCAAGATTCCAGTACTGTCTCCTGAGGTGTTTCTAAGGCTGTCATCGCGGCGGCTGCCACAAAAGGAGGTACACCTCGGTGAGAGCAGAATGGAAATAACGGAACCCAATAGGGATGGCCTCTAACGGCTACTAGCGATGGCCTCCACCCTAGTAGTGATGGCTTCCAACCTACTAGTCTTCTAGGTTATGCTTTTACACCTCGCTCCAAAATATCCCTGGAGCAGTTAATGTGCTTCAACTTACTGTAGTTGATGCGCTTGAAGCAATTTAGAGGCTTCAATTACTCAGCTTGTAAGGATGGCAACCTTTGGGTGATTCCATCGACTTGCTTTTGGTCTCCTTACAAGTTGAACAGATTACTTTTTCATCTAGGTAGGCAGTGATGCGGTGACGATGAAACCATGTCCTTGCTAGGAGGCATCACATGAAAAGATTGGACATCAAGAATTTGCCAGTGAAAAAAGAAAAACACGGTGCCTGGATAGTCAGGGTTGACATGCTTTTTCCCAACACGTCTTCTCTCAGTTTAATAAATGCTGTCCTCCTCGACCAACAAAACAAAACAACGATCCAAAATTCCCCATGTCCCATCCAACGATCCTCCTCTGGGTTCTTGACAGGTCCAGCTGTTGATCGCCAAATTCCGCGCTGCCTGGAAGCTCGATTCGGAGGCCAACTCTGGGAGGATCAGGAGGCCAACAAAGCTCTGCTTGGATGAGCTCAGACTTGAAGAAAAAGAGTCTAGAAACGCAAAGAATTCATCCATGTCTAGTACATGAATATCAACCAGGTAGTTCACCGTTGTCCAGAGGATACAAAGGCCGCGCTTGTTCTTGTAGCTTGTCCAAGGCTCTAATCAAGACACAGGTCAGCACATGTCAGCCATGATTCTTTCTTCGCACAGAATGACGTGCAACCGCTGCTCCAGTTTGTCAAACAACTCGGATACACTGTTTCTTCCAAATGACTAGCTGCTATGCAGCCCGCACCAATAGACAAAATGATAAAAAGGGTTGCGGATTTACTGTGTTTTGAGTTTCTTGTTGGTTGTGTGTGTGTGTTTTTTTTGCATTTTTGTATGATTCAAGGAAACCAAAAGCCAACAGAAGCAAGGGAAGCTGGTTGCTTGTGAGCAGCACAGCTCTGTAGGCTGGCCACTCACAGCAGCACAGGGCATGCGCAACCCTGGCCACTGTGAGCAGCACCGCTTTGTAAGCTCCAGCATGATAGCCGTAGAAGCAAGCGAAGCCAAAAGCCACAAAAGCCAACAGAAGCCACCAAGAGCCAACGAAGAAGCAAAAGCAGAAAAAGCCACCAAAGAAGCAAAAGCAGAAAAAGCCAAAAGCCACCAAAAGCCACCAAAAGCCACAAGCCACCAAAAAAACATCCAACAAAAATACCCCTCCGATACAAAGGACAACAGAAGCCACGTTACAAAAGGTGTGGAACATCGATCTCGGTGGAAGGCCTAATTAAAGGGCGGAAGGCCTAACTTCAACAGGTTGAAGTAGAATGTGTGGTAATCACTTTTGCTGGGAGGTCACAAGAACTCCAAAACAGGTCAAACAGCCCAAAGTTTCTTCAACCTCCTCCCGTTGTTGTCTTCCTTCTCTAAATCGTCGCGACCACGGGGGATTCTCGCTCGCCGCAGAGCTGGCCTCCACCATGGTGGAGGGGAAAAGGCCAAAGCCCAATCGCCACCCTGTCATCGCCTCCGAAAGGATTCGGCTTTTTATTCATCCAGAGCTGTTCTTGATTCAGCGGAGGAACGTTTACCCCAAGTTTTGAGTGTATCTCTCACGCGGAATGGATTGCGGAAGCAAACAAAATTGAACATGTCACTATGTTCGAAGTCTACCATCAACAACATGGTTGCGAGGTACTTAGCATGAACAAATGGTCCCAAAAGGCAACGAAGATTCTGGCGGCTGGCATTCGAACCACACCAAGAACTTTTGCTTGTTGAATTGATTTTGTTGAATTGTTGAATGCTCTCCAAAGAAGAAACACGTCCACATGTGTCCACATGTGGTGTTCACGGATGTCCACGGTGTCCAAGGGGAGATAGTGGATGCTGGGCACTCAAACGCATATCTTTAGACTGACACAAGACATTTATAATAAAGATCAATCAATAAAGTATTGGTCCTCCGTCAGGGCTCCGGGCAAAGGCTTTGCTGCAGCCATCCAGCAGCACTGATCTCTCCGGCATGCCCTGGAAGCGGGCGCCCGCGGGCTGCACGGTACAAATGTGGACATCCGCCCGAAGCATCGAAGGCTGAAAAGAATGAGAAGAACATAGAAGAACCACTGTAGAGATCATGGAATATGACTTCTCAGTCCTCTGCATGATGCCAAGACATGCGAAGCAGGTGCTGGTGCGCTGCACCCACACGCTTTAAGCCATTAGTGCGCTGCACCTGCACAATGTGCACCGCTGGGAACGGCGCGACGGCGCCCGGGCCTCCCGCAACAAGATGCTATCGTGCTGGCCCTCGAAGACCAAACTGGCGGATTGGCCGGATTTGGCTTCAGGGCGCGGAGATCCGGAATTGTTGGGTTTGGTCTCAAAGGCTTCGGATGTCAGAGGATGTCAAAGGACCACAAGGACAAGGGGAGACAGCTGAATTTCTTGTTATATTGACTTGTGAGACAACCCCTCAACAACCCAACAGCATCAAATGGCAAACCAGCCCTAGGGCGGGAAATTGCCCCGAACATGTCCTGGAAAATGCCCCACGAATCCCCACGATAGCTCCCCAATGTAGGGTTTTGGCCTCTCCAAATCCCTACCCTTTGAGGTGCTGAGGGTTCATGTTCATTGATTCTCCATCCCACTCCTCGCAGCTTATGTTCGAAAGTGGCACGAGACAAGTGGGACCATGAAGCGAAGTGGCACAAGACAAGTGGTGCAAAAGCCCCACTTGCTGTTAGATACCCTGCCAAACCCCCAAAACATCCTGCAGACCTGAGAAGATGGAAACGAAAGCCAGTGGAAGTTTACGTCGTGAGCCGGACACTTGGGTCGCAATGAGACGATCTCCTGATGACCGCAACTTGATGATGCAAGTGATGCCGAAACATGTGCATCTTGCATCTATCGCATCACGCACTCACCAAAATACACCCCCACACCCACTAATCACTTAGTTCGAATAAACAAACTTAGGAAAAGGAAATCGGCTGGCTTTCGTAAAAGCTGCTCAACAGCTCACCCATTTACAAACGGTTGAGAAATGTAAGGATGATCAACCAAAAGACTGTCCCAAAAACACCGGATGGTCGCTACCTCCGCCCCATCTGCAGCCAACCTTCCCAATCCCACCCAAGCGCTAAACCCCCAAAGGACAATGACCGTCTTGCAGAACCTGGAGTAGATCTCATCGCTGAGCACAAAGGCGTCCACCTCCTTGGCCACCTCTGCCGCGCAGTCCAAATCCTCCGATGTGAGCACCTCAAAAGGGGCGGCAACCCGGCAGAACTGGTGCATGTTCGAGGTCTGGAGAGAAAGAGGTGGTTGTATGTGGTATTATGTGGTTCATTCCGTCCTTTGCGGGGAGCACATCGAATCCTTCGCCAAGCAAGAGGTTTATAAGCACTATACTGTACTTTACATAATATAAATATATAGATAATATATACACATGTTTTTTTGCTTAGCAAGAGTCAACACAGCCCATGTCTTCGATCCCAATTAAAAAGCGGTCATAATTATAAGTCGAGGCACACCACCGGTGGGATTCCCGGGCGAACATAGGATGATGAGCTTCGTGCCTCACATGGCGGTCGATCTCGGTGGGGGCGGTGACGCCACCTGGATCTTTTCAGCATCCAGGCAGTCTAGGCTATGAAGGGCCGTGAAGGGCCGTGAAGTAAAGTTGTAAATACACATAGTACTACACTATAATTAATCATAGTTACACCTTCTGGTTCTTGTAAACGGAGCAACACAAAAGCATACAAAAGCTGCAATCTTCTCCGAGAATTGAATCACCTCAGGCAGGATTGTACTGTCCAAGTCCCTTTCCTCAGAAGTTTTTCAAGATACTTGAGTGCCTGACCCCTGACAACATCCCCCAGCCACCAAAACGCGAAGAAACACATCTGCCGCAAGTGGGTGCTATGTCAATGTCTGTGTTCCTCCTATGAGTCAGCCCAAGTGCCCTCTCGTTGTGTGGTTTTTGCCAACATCCAGAGCTGACAGATCCAAATCGGTGGCATCATTGTTTGATCTGAATGTTCTCCGCGGCTTATTCGATGCTTAAGCACTTCGATGCGGTGACCAGCCCTACCTTGTTTCACAGACATCAGCAAGTGTGGCCAATAGATTGGTTCTGCAAGCTCGAGGACAACTGTCCATCAGGTAGGACAAGCTTCAAGTCATGCGCGATCCGCTTCTGAAGGTCCATGCCCAATTCAGACCCAAAATTCCCCCGACCGAAGGTGGAAGGTTGCACAGTCCAAGATCCTTGCTTCCACAAGCACTGCCGTCGCGCTGGCATCACTTCTGAGGCTTGCGCTGGAAGATCTAGTCTTATGGGAACCCACGCATGTAAAAATCATTGCCAAAGGGCTCAACGAGTAATTTGGGCATAGACTTGCCACTTGGGCCAATTCATTAAATTGCTCGGTTGATATTGAAGGCTACCTTGTTGCTTCTCCTCCAGCTTTGTCATTCCCCCAATCATTGGAGTGGAGATTTCTCTGTTAAAACACAAATAATGCTCCAGCTCCCCATTGCTTCACACTTGATTTACTCCAAAGAATGTTGTGTAGGGTGAAGCTCATATGAAGCTCATATGTTAGGTCGGCTCCTGTGAAGCTCAGATGTCAGTGTCAGCTTATGTGACCAGATTCACTCAGATTTTCCAAGAAAACCCTCGTCGTCTCGCCCAGATCGTCATCGTCATGCGACTCATTGAGCTTCCGTGCGGGGAGACGCCAAGCGACGGAGCTCGTCCTGAGCTGCGCTCGGCGAGCCGCGCGCCAGGCGACTCGCGGAGCGACCCCCCAGGCATTCTCAGCAATCGAGAGCACATCAACTAGGAGCAAGCTACTAGGAGCAAGGGCACTAGCAAGGGCATCGCTACTAGGGGCTCCTGGCATCGCTACTAGGAGCAAGAAGCTATTAGAAACAAGAAACCTGCACCCTTTTGCTACCCTGCAGAGGACCACGGTGGACCCCCCGGGTATTTGGTCTTCGGACCAGGGTCGAAACCATGGGTGAAGTGTCAGGGGCCATGTGGTCCATCTGCGGAGGTACGGATCCCGTGTTTTCTCCTGTAATCCTCAGAGGCGCTAAGGAAGTGTCCGCGAAAGAATAGGAGGAGGTCAGAATTTAGATAGAGGATCTCAGATTTGTGGCGTGTTGAACGTTGCTGAGCCAAGCTTCTATGAGTCTGTATAGTTAAACCATTTGTTCCTACATGCTCCTACTGATGGTACTGGAATGTACTGGAGATGACTATCCATCATTCGCTCTAAGTCTCTAAGTCATCTATCACTTGGCCCCCTATTTGGGCCATCATCAGAAAGCAAATCCAATCCCTATCCGACCCATACCGGCCTACCTCCCTCCCTGGCTACCTCGCTATACCAAATCTTCCAAAGCCATCCAAAGCCCCAAATCCATCCAAATCCTCCCTGTTGTCTTCTCTTCCTTCAACATCTTCAGCATCCTGCCACTTCGTACATCATCCAGTCCCCACCCACCTCCCCCTTCTCCACCTCCACTTCGGCCTCGCAGCGTGTTGGAACCGGAAGCCCGTGGCCTCATGCAGCTTCAGCGGCTTGGCCGTGGCGCCGGACCACTGGATGGTGGTCTCGTAGGCGGGGAAACCCGGGTCCGGATAGATCACCTAGGTGCCACCCGCCCGGCGCATGGAGGGTGAAAGAGTATCCACATGGGGCCTGGGTTCGGTGGGTGGGGCGGGGAGCTAGTGTTGGACTAGATTGTGGGGTGGAACAAGCAGGACAAGAAGAAGAGTTATAATTTTCGGAGGGTCTTCATCTTCCTCTATCTGGGTCCGGTTACAAATGTTCCACCAGATTTGTGTTTGCGGACCTGGTTACCCCGACGGAAGCAAGTTACCTCCTTGCCCAAACAAAACAGGTTGGTATGTTCGGCGTAGGATCCATTTAAAAACAATCACCAAACAGAGACCTGAAAGAACGAACCTTTTTCCATCATATCCTCCTCCCGACTGTAATTAAGTCTACAGTAACTTGATGTACATCCGATTGGTTTGAGTGGCTCTGTCTGCGTGGGACTTCTGCACTCTGCTCAAAGGCTGATCAGGGGTCAGTATCCAACAGTGCTACTGCGCTACGGTGTGTTCACCCTGAGGCATCTTTGGCCAATCACCCCCCCCGGCCCAATTTCTAAGGCCCCCGACCTCATCCCCCTCCTGACAGTTCGCGATTGGGATGCTCAAAACATGTGGGTGTATATGCGCCCCACCTGGCAAGTTCTGAGCTTTCCATCCAATAAAGGTGGGTCTATGACATAACAAGTCCCTTATGGAGCTGGCCACCTCATGCTCACCTGACTCTCGTTCACCCCCTGAATTTGGTCGATTGCTCATCCTCTCCAAACAGTCAAAAGAATTGCCTTTTCTCGCGACCGTCACCACCTCTCCTCGCACAGTGCGGCGATCGTGTGGAAGATGACGGGCTTGCCGCCCGGCATGCACAACACCTGGATATTGTGCCAATCGATGTCAAATCTCCGAATTACAAATAATGTATATGCATATATATATATATATATTATATATATGTACCCAAAAATCAAAAACATCCCTGAACAACAAAAGCAGCAAGCAGCCTTTTGTCGCATTGCTTTGAGAGGTGCATGGGTCCACCTTGTGACCGCCTCACTTCAAAATCAAGGGTGTGGCAAGCAGTTTCACTCACCCGTTCATGCCTGACACACCTTATGCCCCTGGGAGGAGGACTCCCACCGGATCCGGTCACGGGATCTTGCCTGGGATACTAGGAAAAGTTCGTGATCGAAAGGAGACGAGTCGCCAATGGAAAAGAAAACAAATTGTTCGGAGCCGGTAGCCGGCGCTCCGGTGAAAATCCTTGAAAGTCCGGATGTGTCAATTCATCCGCCCAGGTGTTGAATTCCCTGGGTAATGTGGCTACGGCTAGGAGCCAAATTGCAGCCCGCACGATGAAGAGTCAGCACCAGCTCCATCAGGAGGGCTTGTCCCCCACGATGCTGGTCACATTGCCAGGTGACAGCTTGAGATATCGAGGGGCCAGCTGGCCAGCGGGCAGCGGCGGGGGAGGTACTGCCTCCGAGGTGTCCATCTGTTGGATGCCAACATCCATGTTGGTGGCCACGGGGTCATCTCCCTTCAGTGTTGCAGAGCCCCCCGCAGGGCCAGAGGCACCAGCTATGGAGAACATTGCATCGCCAGTTGACCTTCACCTCCACCATGGCCGACTGAGGGATCTGTCCCACCAACTTCTGGTAGACATCGGGGAACTCCTTGAGGGCCGAGAGTGGGATGGTGATCCGAGCCGGGGCATCCTTTCCGCGCTGCTTTCCACCAATTGCCAGGGGCAAGCTGCACCACAAGCTGTAGATGTACTTCAAGCTGTAGCGGTAGGAGTAGATGTGGATCAAAGAGGGGAGGTCCCAGGTGCGGCTCTCCCACCTCCAACACTGGTCCGTGGCCGTGTCATGGGTCCACCATGTAGAGATGATGGCATGAATTGAGGGCCTATGCCCTTCCCGTCTCTGGACTTCCACCTCATTCTCCGGGTAGTGGAAGGGCTCGATCATGTCGGAGGCATATGTGCACGGGTGGGTGCGGCGCTCCAAGGCCCGGTACATTGCGAGGCCTGCCGCAGCTTCGTCTTCCGCGTGGCGGAGGAAGCCACGTCTGCCTCCTGGTTGAGTCGGTCCATGTCTGGGCTACTGACCGTAGCCATGTCTTCAGCTCCATCGTCTGGTTGGGCGTCTCTGAAAATTTCGATCATCACGTACTCGGACTCCATCGGTGCGCCATAGCGATGCGCGTCGAGAACTAAAACCTACGGTCGCGAGTTTCACAAATCAGCCTTGGCAACTCACACGAGGTTGCCACCCAACTTGAGCCAAAATGTCCCGGTGGGACATTTTAGTCAATTTTTGTGAACATAAAACTTGCAACCGCAAGCTCAATGCAAGTGTGAATATTGTATATATATATATATATGTGCCAATTGACTTCAGATCTCAACAATTTCAGAATTACAGGCCTGTCCGGGACGAGCCTAAGAGTTTCCACGTACCTGCAACTCCCAAAGCAATTCTTCAGATGTTTACTTGCAGAGCCGCAAAGCCAGAAAATCGCGTTTCGACAGAAAAAGGTTCGATACCAAGACCCACGTTCGAATCCACGAGAGTTGGGTGGTTCATGGAGACCCTCTCCATTCCCGACATCACCTGAAAGGACTCGCAAAAACCTCGGAACTCCCGGAACTCCCAAGTTGACTCATGAACTAACTAAATACCCTACCCGAGCGTCATGATCCACCACTTGGTCAGGGGTGAAATTGATGAGTGATGACCGGACTTTGAATGAGCAGTTTTTGTCCCTCCCCCCGCGAATGGGCGTGGTGGCCGAAGCCAGCGAACGCGGGTTGACGCGAAGCGTGGCGTTGCCTGCTCCGGGTCTGCTTTGAGCCCCGGCCTCCACAGAAGGAAATAATTGAGCATATAGTTCATAGAAGGCCGAGTCCCAAGGTATGACATCAAATCATGGATGGACAGATTGATGTCGAGGTTGAGCCAAACAACATTAGCTTGTCTTAGGATTTTGTGAGTTGTCTATGTTGTCTGATGTTCCGGAACCGCAAAATCAATGAGCAGTTGAACTCAAGAGAGATGCTTAGATGATCTAAGATCCAAAATCTCGACTGATGGTTCAGTTGTCCACAAAGACAGCTTCATGGCTTCATGATACATTTCCAAGATCTTGGGTTGGAAGTGTATAATACACATTTTGATTCTGTCTTTGATTGTGCATGCTTGAACCCTTTTTGCAAGCGTGGTGGACCCATATTCTCCCCAATCAAACCCACATGCAGCCCGACGCAGGTGCAACCAATTCCACAGAATCCTTCATCTCCAATCTCAAGCCTCCCCTAATCCCTCCGTCCCATCCCTTTGATGGACAATCAAGGAATTGCTCACCTGGTGCGTTCCAAATGCTCAGCGACCACGCGCCGCAAAGCAGGTGATCCACCAGCCGCCTGGCTGAGCCCAAGCAAACCAATCGCTGCACATGTTTCACGTCCGCCAAGGAAACAATATCATCTTCCAAACCCGCCATATGTAGCTGCTATACTATTCTAGAGAAACTCCTCTCTCTCTTTATATATATCCGCCCGCACTGAAGGTGCTGAGGCGTTTTATAGGGCACGCATGATTCCTAAGTACCGCCAGTACTACTGTAGTACTACTGTAGCTTTAGCTAGGGGGGGGGGCCATTTTCGCTCTAGAATCCTGTGTTTTTTCACGTTTTTGAAACCGGCTTAAAGTGCATTCGTGCTAATGTTGGGTATGTTGAAGGCTTTAGGGATGCAAGAAATGCGAGTTTCTGCTTTGCATCATCTGCATCACCTGAATCATCTGAGCGGCACACTATCTAACGGACATGTCTGCGAGATAGGGACTTGAATGTCCGGGTACGTGGGTGGTCAGGAGCAGAGATAAGCAGGTCAGGTCCAGGAACGGTAAATATTATCTCCCGAGCATAGCTGCCATATGGTCGAACATAACTCCAGAAGTCCCTATCTTAAGTACGCTTCCTCGAGATAGGTACTTGAACGTCGTAAACATGGTCTAACGAAGGCTCCCAAGGGACTGGAATAGCGTGAAGATATTGTCTAACCGAGCGCTCGAAGGCACTATCGAAAGGACGTGTCTGCGAGATAGGGACTTGAACGTCGTAAACTGGTACGCAGCATAGCCCTCGAAGTCCCTATCTAATGGACGTGTCTGCGCGATAGGGACTAGAACATCCGGGAACGTGGCTGGTCCGGAGCAGAGATAAGCAGGTCAGGCCCCGGAACGGGTACGTAAGATAACCCTAGAAGTCACTATCCAACGGACATGTCTGCGAGATAGGGACTGAGCGGTACGTAACATAACCCTAGAAGTCACTCTCTAACGGACATGTCTGCGAGATAAGGACTTGAACGTCCGGGTACGTGGCTGGTCAGGAGCAGAGATAAGCAGGTCAGGTTCAGGAACGGTAACATCTCCCGAGCATAGCTCCCATATGGTCGAACACAACTCCAGAAGTCCCTATCTCAAGTACGCTTCCTCGAGATAGGTACTTGAACGTCGTAAACATGGTCTAACGAAGGCTCCCAAGGGACTGGAATAGCGTGCAGATATTGTCTAGCCGAGCGCTCGAAGGCACTATCGAAAGGACGTGTCTGCGAGATAGGGACTTGAACGTCGTAAACTGGTACGCCACAAAGCCCTCGAAGTCCCTATCTAATGGACGTGTCTGCGCGATAGGGACTAGAACATCCGGGAACGTGGCTGGTCAGGAGCAGAGATAAGCAGGTCAGGTCCAGGAACGGGTACGTAACATAACCCTCGAAGTCACTATCCAACGGACATGTCTGCGAGATAGGGACTGAGCGGTACGTAACATAACCCTAGAAGTCACTATCTAACGGACATGTCTGCGAGATGGGACTTGAACGTCCGGGTACGTGGCTGGTCCGGAGTCTCCAGTATGCTTCCCCGAGATAGGTACTTGAACGCCGTAAACATGGTCTCACGAAGGCTCCAAAGGGAGTGGAATAGAGTGCAGATATTGCCATTGCCTAACAGAGATCTAGAAGTTACTACCGAAAGGACGCGTCTGCGCTTGAACGTCGTAAACTGGAATAGATTCCCCCCTAACGTGGCTAAACATAGCTTCCATATTGTCTGGCATAGCATTAGAAGTGATATTTGGCTCCACCGGAGCAAAGATAAACAGAGATCACGTTCCGGAACGGCAACATCGCAAATAACGTGGCCCAACGAGGGCTCAAAAGGGACTGGACAAGCACGTCTCCTCGAGAGAGGGACTGGAGCGTCGCAGACCGGGACCCCTTTTGCACTCCAGATGCGCGCGCCGACTCCATCTACAGGGTGAAACATGCTCTCTTTTCAGTATAGCTCGAACCACCTGCACCATGTCACATCACGTCCCGTGACGTGTTAACCTTGTAGACTCGTGCAAATCTAGATGGGGAAAAGAACGTGAACTACCTGAATTGCCAGGGAGATTGAGACCTTGACCGGCTCTGCGGCATCGGCCCCTAAATGGCTGCGGTCTTTGAGCCCAAGCTTGTTTGAAAAGGAAAGGAAATTGCCAGGGTCAACCGTCCCATCGTGATACCTCCGGCAGTGGTGGCGGCCCTTCAGCAGCCACGATTACTTGAAAAGGCCCTTGAACCATCGAATACCACATCATCCCTTCCCCTGATGACTCTGCTTCTCTCTGCTCCAGTTGGACCTTATATTTGCGACGTTCCAGGCGATATGGAAGCTATGTTCAGCCACGTTGAGGGGGAGCCGTTCTGGGGCCGACAATATGGACGCTATGTCGGAAACTTCCTTTCATACTCACTCCCTTGGCTCCAAGAGCACAAGCAGCTCGGGCTTCCTTCCGGGACTCGGTGGATGTATTGTCCCCTTCCATCCGGTGCGGGCGGTTACCGTCGCGAAGCGACGTGAATATATATATATATAATGTATAATATATATATATATTATATCATACTACAATTTAGCCATATAATCGATATAATCAATATATTTTTCAGTTCATTTGAGTGGTATTCGCCGGGTGTCATGGAAAAGCATGGAATTCTTGGAGCCAACACTGCGAACTGCAGGTCAGTCTGGCCTGGTACCGTGAAAATGAACCCCTGTAAGACTATCCTCATCTACCACCCAGCGGGTTTTAGGGGCCATGCTAATCTGTAGGAGGGTAGTTCACACCCAAAGCCCAAAGCAAAAACAGCTTGGTCAACATGAAGAACTCACTCCACCCCTTTTTTTGCCAGTGACAGAAAACCAATCCCCAAAAAGAACGGGTCAAAGGTTCTCCACTGACTGGGTATGACTGGAAGCATTCATCCATACGCAAAGCTCCAGGACTCTGGAGATCTCCTGACTTGGATTCCCCAATATAGACTCTGCCAACATACTAGCAATGGCAATGGCCTCCAACATACCCGATTGGGGATTGGAACACCTAATTATTACAGTATTCATATGGGGCACGCACTTACAGAACTTCATCCACGCTGTGACAACCGAGTCCCCTGTCTTTTGAAGACGAACCTCTTCATACGGGGGTGTTTTATGCGTCATACCACGGCATACCGCGTCTTACCCCCGAGTCGGGCAGCGAAGGAAAGCCTCGTAATGTGTCTGCCCGTTTTGAAGGGCTGAAACTGCACTGTCCTTAGGACAAGGCAACAGACTCGAGCCTTGCCTAAACTCACTCCAAACGTTCAACATGTTCAAGTCTGAACAACCATGCAAAGACCAATCCACTGGCTTCAAGGGGTCTGAATCTTCAAATGTGGGCTTTGCACCCCTTGCATCCCGGAACGCCAGAAGTCCGAATGCTATCAAAACTCCAGGTGTACCCCCAACATCCAAGGCCCAGCCCCCAGCTTGGATTTTGGAATCACGGCTTTGGCCTTGACCGTCTTCGGTTAGATGACCCAAACGATCCCAAACGGGCTCCGATTGTGTGTGTCTTTTCAGCTCCGCACACTTCGCAAAGCATCATCCTTTGGCTCTTTCCGATATGACATCAAAATATTGCCTCCTTGAAAGGATTCTTGATCAACATGAGGAAAAGCCTTTCTGAAGTGCTCCAGTTGTTCCATCATCTTGCCTAGGCGGCTCAGTTGAAAGGACACAAAGAATAGCACTAGCACTACTAGTACTGTGTAACAACCATGCGTCAAAGCCAAAGAGATGCAGCTAAATCACAGCTCACTCCCAAACACGGTTTCTGATTTCATCTCAGTGACTCTGATTGGTGTGATTCTGCAACACTTCCCCACTGTCTTTGAGTAGGCTGTGCAAATGATCCACATCTTCTTTCTCCAGCACTGTATCTGCAATATCCACCACGATTGCGTCGAAGCGTCGCCCGCTCCGTGCCAGCTCTTTCAAGGCTTCCCGTGCGTCTTCTACTAAGACGTCACCTCCAATCTAAGCGCTGAAGGGAACGCACCATACAACAAGACAAACACTCTCCGGTTTTCGTCTCACGCCAATTCATTGGCTCTCTCTACATCGTCTTTCAAGCTTTGCAGGCAGGTGCATATCAGGTGCGCTGTCGCTATAATGTTGGATAGTAAACCGTCCCCCCAGGAAACAACTGAGGGAGAGTAAATAGAGACCGGACAGGCCCACAAAAAACATTCTCGTAGTAGGAGAAGGAGCAGGAGTAGTAGGAGAAGGAGTAGTAGGAGTAGGAGTAGGAGAAGGAGTAGGAGTAGGAGTAGGAGGAGTCGTCGTCGTCGTCGTAACCAAAAAAACCTTTCCCAAGGCTCCAAGCTTTCTGATTAATTATTCCAATACCCTCAAAACAATTCATGAAAAAAATGGCAGGGGGCTTGTGTACTTCCCCTACTTAAAGTTGTTTGGAGCAATGATTTTGGAACGGGTAATCAAGTTCCAAGAATCAATCTAAACTTCAGAAGAGGTTGAGCAAGGACATTAAACGGATGCAATAGCTGAAGCGAGCTGAACATTAGTAAACAAACCTGATTGAACGACAACAAGAACAAGAACAATAACCTCGGTGAAAAACATGTGCACTATTCCGTTGGGAATAACTTTGGGAAACTCTTGATTATCAAATTCCCTCCCACTTAACTATTTGGGATTGAACATTACTAGCTGAGCTGAGCTTTTGGGCCTCTTGGTCAAAAAAAGAGGCCCTCAAAGGGAACAATCCCAGCCGCCCCCTCGGGGCCTCCCGTCAACTCTGATGGGTGAAACATGGTGAAACCATCAAGCTGTGATTGACCAGTTTTTGCAAAACCAAACATTTCCGCATGAGCATGCATGAGCTCTATGTTTGAGTTCAGCTTCATGTTTCCAAATGCTCATTGTCACTTGCATTGTCACTTAGACTAAATTACAATAACTATGTTCAATTATATAGTTATGTGCCTCCACACATGAAAAGCCTCTCTTAATTTGTGGGCTCACCGCCGCTCCCAACCGCAGACTATACACCGCGCCTCGGAAGCCGAAGAAGCGCCGGGCGGCCGCCACGACGCCGGGCGAGGCCTCCACGGTGAGGAGCTCCGCCGCAGGACACGCCTTTCGCAGCGAGCTCTGCATGGTGCTACCGCCTGGGACCGAGCAGGGCGCGCCGGGCCGCAATGGCGTGGTTGGTGCGGACGCGGTTGGTGGTCTCTTTAGGGATGGAAAAGTAGGAGAGATACTATACATGGCCCAATATGTGGGCAAGGCAGGGAATGTGATGGTTAGTTGATGCATGTTGATGATAGCGGAGGTTTGTTGGTTGGCAGGTCTGACTGGGATTTGAAAAGGCCTAGCCCCAGCATAAGGACTTGCATGTGCTTGGAGCAGTGGATGCGCTTCAGGCGCTGCATCACATAGTCCACGTAGGGAAAGGCAAAGTCACTGGTGAGGTCCACCTCTTGGCATCGCCTCATCCAGTAGGTCAATGAATCCGTGGGATGGGTCGGACATGGACATGTGGGGTTCACATTCAGTGGTTTGTAGGGAGTCAATTCCTCCTGATTACTTTACTTACCGACAATTACTACAGTGTTTTTGTTGCTTCTAGTCGATGTCTATCCTTCAAAGTTGTCCAGGTCCATACCCCACAGGAAAGACACTTGCCAGCATACATGACTTGTTTGGTGTGGCTGACCATTGAAACCACATGTCAACAACGGACATTGGCCACTAGAGACACAATGTCTGAGTATGCTCAAACATCAGACGCCCGACTAAACTGACTAAACATGATCTTGCAAATGGAGAAATACATCGAGCAGGTCACTTCAGGGCTCGCCCTCATCGGAGCCCATCATCTAATTACCCAGATTTCTCCGAGTCTCCAGGCTTTGCGGATCCTCGGATCGTCGCAGCTGCCGCTGAAAAGCTCTGGGCTTTTCCCTTGACATCTCACCTTGGACTGGACAAAGCCATTGGTGCTGGCGCCATCCAGGATCAGCGCGCGCGTGTTGTCCGGCGTCACGGTGACGTGAATCTTCTCATCGCCTAAGACACCATCGCACATCCTGGGAGGCCAGAAAGGAGAAGTCTGGAGAAATTCTAGAAATGACCAAAAGAAGATCAGAAACACGGGATCAAGGTCAAAGAGTGCCTGACACTGACACAATTTTGTTTTGGACACCCCTTGGATGGTCCTGGTAATGCTATTGGCCAAAGAGGAGAGGAAAAAGACAAGTCTGCTTGGAAGGCTCCCTAGTTTCTCGTCAATTCTATTTAGAAGCTCTGTCACCTGCTCTATCAGACTCTATCGAAGTATGCCCGGACGGATTCCCCGAGAATAAATAACACCGACACTACTGGTCATTTGCATAGACGTGGATAATGGACCGTTTAAAGACATCTCCAAACCAGGTTCCTATTAATGTAAAGGGACCATTTTCCATGTCTATGTTAATAACCAGAGCCGTAAGCCTTAAGCAGTTCCTCAAAGCGTCCCAAAGTCGAAGAAGTCATTTCTCCTTTTGCTCTTGATGTCGATGTCCTCGCTTGGGCAGAAGCCCTATGGGAGCCATCGGGCCTTCTTCGAAACAAATCAGAGACCAGGGTGGCTATGAGGTTCACGATCAATTGTCCAACCCTCTGCTGGCTGGCTAAACAAGGACTTGCTCGCAACTGAGCCCACCTCTCTGGTCAGACATTCCACAACCAACCAATGAAACGGCTGAGCACCAATGACATCCAAACAAACTCTAAAATCTAGAACCAGTTCCACATCCTCCCAAAGCCTGAAACCACCCGGTCTGAGCTCGGCCCGGGCCTACCCCTGCTTTCTCCCACATGTCCCACCCACCTGGTGGGAAGAATCCACAAAGGCCACCCACGACGATGCGGCCCTGGGCAGCGGGGCACAACGCCCTTCCAATGGCAGGTCATCCGAATGCTTCAGCAAGGTCTGCAACAATCGCATGGCTGCACGAGGTTGCGCTTCGCTGCGGAATATATATATATAAATATATTATATTATATGTATATATTGTTTGTTGCTTTTGTTGTTGTGTGATTGTATTTTTGGCGTCCACATATGATGGGCTTTAAGAAGCACTGCTGGTGGGGGTTGAAAGTAAAACACGACTCTTTCGGGTCTGTACTATTGCCAGTAACAGTGGATGATGATGGTCAAATTGTCTACACCTGAGTAGCACTGTGGGACAATGATCATGAATGACAATGATCAATCAAACAATCTTCTACCAAACTGCAATTTTATTGGATCCTTCGGTGGATGTTTTTCCGTCTGGGCTCAGGCTGGCTCCCTTCATCTCTCCGAGCGCTCGCGGGTCCGAGTTTTTCGATGCGGCAGTTCTACTCAGTTTGAACTGTAAAGTGCTGCAGCATGGAGACTGGGAAGCCTTCCCAGAAATTCAAAGTTTTTTTTGGTGGTGCAGGGGAAAATCAGCCGATGTCGTCCTGACCCACTCACATGGGAGTCTTGGATGAAACTCCCCAGCAAATGGGATGGATGTGCAAAGATGCACTGGATGCTTGATAGTCACTATACTTCCAGTCTTCGATTCGATGAGAGATTTCAAGCGCGAGGGACAGGGCTGAACCGGACGCAGTGCATCGTTCCGACTGAAGGACCTCACTGTCCTTTTCATTCCTCTCCTTCTGCCTCCGCCAAATTCATCTTACTGATAATATCTATTATATAATTATCAATACTATCTATATATCAGTTATATAAACCTCCTTGGGGCCCATTCCGGGCTCCCCAGCTGTGATATGCTTGGGCGTGGCGAAATCCGGGTCCCCCACCTGCCGTGCTTGCCGAACGGGTGCGAACGCACGCTCAAAGAGCGCCCGTGCCCAAAGGAGTAGCCGCAACGTTTTCGGTTGAAGCCTATGCCTTAGCCTTAAGGAGGGTAAACACATGTAAACAAACCTGAGTCAAAAGCAAAAGCCACGGCCGGGTTTGAAGGGGAACAAGTCGGAACGAGATGAGAGCCCAAAGACGAGTGCCCGATGTCAGATGTTGAAACAATCAACTTGGAGGTACTTACGAGAAAAGGCTGGATTCCTCGTTGGACTGGATAGTCGCTCTAGTCCAAGAGTCGCTAGTCACTTTGCTGGTCTTTTCATCTTATAGAGATATTGTCCTTTTAGAAACCTTGGATTCAGAAAAACCTTGGATTCAGAAATCTAACCCAACCTTATAGAGATTTTGTCCTTTACAGCCCAACCTTGGATTCAGAAAAAGACATGTCCCGCATCGGCCCCTGGCCCTGGCGGGCCCCTGGTGCCTCCATCCGGATGATGTCGCGCCCCGACTTTTGGAGCGCCAAAGCTTTGCCCACCATCCTCGGATTTGATGCTTTTTCTCCGCGCGGTTTTTCGATGTTTTTCGTTTCATCGGGTTCGATCTGTGGAAAAAACCCGGTTCACGCGCGAAGATGGATTGCAGGTCCAGCTGGTTGGATCGCCGAGAACATCGACGACTGAACGTGCATTTGGGGAAGGCAATTGCCCGCGGTCTCCCAACAGCACTGGGCTTCGTAGAAAACGACACAAACATACACAAACAGTAACAACATAAAGAAATCTCTCAAAATGGTAACATCTGTTTTTGCAGGTTCCCATGATTAAGGTGGATATATAACGCATGTATTTGATACAAGAAAACCCTCTCTACTACCGTGCTTGTGGCACCCCTTCGTCGGCCCATGAGGCCAGATCAGCTAAGTGGCATTCTTGCAGCCGGGCGTCTCAATCGTTCCCTCCCCCTTCAAGATGCCTGCGCGCCGCGCCAGCGCAGCGTAGGCACGGGAGGGACCCTGGACGGTGGGCGCATGCCGCACCGGTCGCGTGGCCTGAAGGCCAAGGTACGGCGTCGTCCAAGGTACGGCCGAAGTCGGTTGAATGTAAAGGTGAAACTTGTGTGGTCGACAGTGGCGTCTTATGTGTAAGTGTATAACTATATGTATATATAGCTTGAAGTGCTTCTCCATCATTTTGTGCCAGCAACAAAATCATCGAATCCAGCAAAGTATTTTTTGGGAATTCAAAAAACATGCTTTGATGGAACCCCAATCCACAACAGTTCTCAGCAGTACCCTCAACACATCTCAGGACCATCAATTAAAATAACAAACGGTTTCCCGATGTCTCCATGTTTGCAGTTGAGCACATCCAGCCTATAGCCTTTTCCGCCCCAGTCGGCAGTTCACCTACAAATCCCAGCCTTGGAAGACGCGCTCGCCCACCGCGCCCAGCGGCACCGCGTGTGGCACCGCGTGTGGCGGGTGATGCTCGCCATGCTTGGGATGGCCAGTTGAACAAGAAACAATGTCAGGATGCATATCTACAGCTCTGAATGGCTGATGAAGCAAAACCCGTGGAAGCTTGAAACAAGCAATACAATACCTTGAAGGAGAAAAACACCTGTGCGAGTACTCGGATCAAGTGTATCCGTCTGTTTATGTATGTTTGCTTCCAGTGTATTGATGCGTGTGCTAGCGTGTGCTTATGTATGCTTCGGTTGAAGCCTACTGAAAGCCGACACATACACAAAGCTCAGTCGCTCCCCCTGGCCATGTCATGAAAAAACACCCTCAGTCTTTCCATGTCTTGATGTTTCCCCTGAAATCATGGACCTCAATGGATCTAAACCAACGGCCATCCGCACGAAGCTCGCTGCCCGGTACCGGTGAGGGCGCGCCTCTCGGGCTGGCTGGATGGACTCGTCAGAGAGACCTAAAGCCTCCGGGCCCAAGGAAAGATGCAGAGACTGAGCCTGGATGGCCTGGATTGGGATTCGGGGCAAGATGGGGCAATGAAGATGCAGATTCATGGGTATGAGTCATAGTGATCCTGAGTCATACTGAGCTCATGTTCACCTTCTTCTTTTCTGACGATTGACCGTGATGGACCATTTGATTTTTCCTGGCGAACTGGAGCGTAAATTGGGACGAATGAAACCTGCCTTCAAGTGCCTTTTGGATTGACCGATAGACTGCGTCCCATGAGCTGCCCTGTGTTTGCTCCCCATCAGAGCGTGAGCGCGTTCACATCGCCAGACAGCTCACGGCTCCCAATCGCAGTGGGCACTGCCGACCTCAACCGCCCAAACACTCCATGTCGTTGACTACGAGTGTGACATCTTTGCCGGAAGACTCGGGGTCAAACCTGAGGCATAGATTCCAGTCCTGTGGAGTGTTAAACAAAACCGTTTCACTTTCCCAATGCCAAGCCGTTCTCTCAGCCATGCATCTGTGAACAAACGAACAAACAAACCAACAAAATCTGGTAGCTTTCATGAGGCCTGAGGCCAAACTGTCAATGCTTGATTGGCATCAATTCCCTTTTCCATCCATTTCCCAAACGACCATCCTTTTCCCAGTTGCTCTCGACACCAGAAACTGGCTGAGACCCAAATCGTGTTTGTTCTTAAACGAAACACAATAATTAATGTGAATGATCTACAAATTCCCTACAACTCCTGTACACATGTTCACTCATGTTCCTGTTCCCTTCCTCATCAAAGTCGACATGTTCCTGTTCCTTCACCGGTCCGATCGCTCGCGGCTCCGATCCGATCCGACCGTCTGGTTCACGATGGGATGGGAGACCGTCGCGCCTCAGCGCCACGAATGGCCGTCTTGAGCGTCTGGATCCTGCCGGGCCGGGCCGCGCAGAATGGCGCTCTGCGAGCGCGCAGAGCGCAGAGTCAGAGCTTGCTGCAGATGTTCATGCTTTTGTTCTTTCATGTTCATTCATGGGACTGGCTGGGTGTTCAGGTCCGTATGGCTGACCCAATATGACCCAATGACATCTGACCAAATAGGCCCATCTCTTCGCAAAACCCATCTCAGTGGTCCGACAAAGGTGCTCCGATGGTGCAGGGACCCACTCGTCCTCTGGTGATACTCTTCACCGGCGCCCGCTGCACCTGCCAAAACGCGCAGCAAGCAAACCCGAGGAACCCGGCGGAGGAGAAAAACATCAGTATGACGATAAACGACGATAAATGACGATGGGTGGCAGGAGCTCTGGAAAAGAAGCGGCACTGCCTATGCGCTGAGTCATCTGCCATTGACCAAGTCTCTTTGGCACTGCGTTCTTCGCCCTTGACTATGTCGCGCGTCTGCGTCATCTGCCATTGAAGAAGTTCTGGGTCACACGTCTGAGGTCAATGGGCTGAGCCAGTTGAAGTCAATCGGTTGCTCCAAGAGGGTAGTTTGCCATCGGTTGTCCATAAGAACCGTTAGGATTGACATGACCATCATCTACTTTAGCTTGGCCATTGAAAAAGTGCTTGCAAAAAACTTCCAAATAGGATAGAAAAAGTATCAAACCACCAGCCAGTCTTGATACGTCGGGAGGTTCCTTCCATCTCCTGGATCAACTTGGCACTTGCAGGAAACAATGCTCAGTCCACCTTAATTTCAGACACAGCTCAATTCTCCAAAAGCGAAGATATGAAGATCCCATGTTGACCCAGCCAAGCATGTTGACTAGAACCCAAAGCATGGAAGCTGCCCCATATCAATCCGCGAAACAAACAGATTGCCCCTGGGAAGACTTCCACAAAATCTCAGGGCCGTTTTTATAGGATCGCGCACCTCCATGGGTTGACCGGGATAGGTGAAGAAGAACAATATAAATATACCAAAACTTAGGAGCACACTGGAAAAAAATAGAAAACATATACCAGCAGTCACAAAGGGGTGCTAAATGGAGGTCAGTTAGGGGTGCCCATTATCCACTTACTTAGGGCCAGGGACCAAAAACATCTAAAAACCACTCCTTTGTGACTCCTGGTATGTGCTTCTTTATGCATCAATCCAGGAGTGGTTTTTGACTCGCTTCTTTCCTGGTATGTGACTCCTGGTATGCATCAATCCTGATTAATCCCTGTGTTTATGTTTAATCGCTTCCCATTTCCACCGGTACCCTCCCGTCCCATCCCCTTCGAGTCCGACCCAGCTGTGCGCCGCCCAGGGCTGAGGTCCGACGCTTCCCTAAGCCTCGCGGTCTGCCGGGGTCGTGAAGTGGAGAGGTGGGATGATGAGGTGGATGAGGTGGATGAGGTGGAGAGATGTGGGAAGATGTCCTGATGGTGAGGTGGATCCTGAGGTGGAGAGTTGACTGGAGAGATCATCTGGTATCATGATGTGGGATGAAGTGAGATCGAGAGAGATGTCCTGAGATCCTAGAGAGGTCCCAGATCCACTCTTTTTCGATGCGATTCTTCCTTTGAACGATCCATGGAAGTGGAAGAGGTTGGCTTGTGGAACGCTCAAAACTTGTTACAAATGGGGGACAATGTTGCACCAGGTCTGTGAGAAGCTTTCTTCCAGGTCCGTCATAGTGGAGAGCGGCCGTGGAATGAGTGGTTGTCCACAAAGTGTCACATCCTTCAAATCTCAGTTCCAGCTCTAAATCGTTGCCCTCCCTGGATCTCCCTGGAACAGCCATGGTTAATTACGTGGATGGCATGGCCCCCACTTTGGATGAGAATGTTTTGAATACCAAATAGGTGGTGAACTCCACTTCCATGATCTCATTTCAGAGAGTGCATATAATAAGTGAGGCTGTGACGTGGAACTTCTGCAATCCCGACTTAACTACTAACGATGCCACATCCTTTCATCGCGCCAAAAAGAACATCTATGATATCTATACCGTCTATGAATCTAAAATCTAACTCAACTCACTCATCCCCAAACAAACCTTGTGTTCTTGCGGGGTCAATATAACACATCTCCCCTCATCCCTCCTGTCTGCCTGCTTCCCCAAAGCCGCCCTATATCAAACAACAAATAAACAAAAACAATCAAACGCCCAAAGACGTCGCACCGCACCGCACTCGCGCACCGCTATCGCGCACTCTCTCGCACCGCTATATTGCACCCACCACCGCAACAAAGGAAGCTCCGCTCCTGAACTCCGGGGGTTTTGCGGCGCTTCGCTGCTCCCGGGCCGCGAGTCCACGCCCACCGCCTCAGAGCGAGCGGATTTCGGTGCATGCGAAGTCGTGGCGAGGGCGGCGGATGTTCTGCAGCCGAAGTGTGGTGGCGAAGTGGCGCAGGCGAAAAGGATGAGAATTTTGTTTTATATATTTATAACCTATAACTATATGGAGGTTCAGGATTCCTGCCTCCTATAGACACCCTAAGCTATAGAACCATCTGATCTCATACACTTCCATGATGGTTGGATAAAGAGTGGTGAGTCGTTCAGCTGTCATGCGTCTCCAAGTTGAATATGCCGAGCCTCGCAACAAGTTAGCTGTGCCAACAGACCTCTTGCTGCTTGCTTCAGTCTTCCCCATGGTTCACCCCCTTGGGGCTTGGGAGAGATCTCTTTCAGAGGGGGTGAACTACCTTGGAACCCTCACCTCAATGGATCGGTCTTGTTCTTTTGCAGGATTCTAACACCTGGGAAGGGATCCACATGGAACCTGAAAACGGACCTTTGGAAGACCATTTTCCTCTACAAACCAGCGATACACAGGCCCCATGTTAACCTCCCAGGACGCACATCAACGCACCAGTACACCGAAGCCAGATTGAAGAGAAGTTGTGTCTCACGCTGACTGACACACCTTTTCCACTTCTCCTGTGATCTCTCCCAAGACAGGACTGTTGTGGCCAGGGTTGCGAATTTGCAGCATGTGCAAGTTGCCTTCGGTAGAACTGCTAGTAAGAGGTTGTCCCGGTGTCCCCAAAAGCGAAAGCATCCACAAAATCTGGTGGCCGATCAGTCTATGGTAGCCTTCCTTTGAGATATCCAGATCAATTCCAGATCCCTTCATCAAAAGTTTACTTTGGTATCAGTGCCTACCTGCAAAACATTGCGCTTCCACACACGTACCTGTGCATCGATGAGAAGCTCAATTTGGACCGGCCGCTTCTAGCGCAGCCTCGAAGTTGGCTTGACTCCTGCATGAGGAAGCACTACGGATGAAAGCATCAAGTTCCAAGGATGTTCAAGGAACTGGTGTTTACCTCGAAGCACGAAAGCGGATGAGGGGCCATCTGTACTCCAATGAGGAATCACAGGGCAGGCTCATAGCTAGGGCGTCTTTTCCATCTTCCAAAAGAAACTCCTTCCCTCAAATGGTCCAAACTTGCTGCTGACAATATGAGACTTTGGCATACAGATTTGCTGGAGTAGAGTGTCCGATGCTTTGATTGCTTGATAGATTCATGTCCTATAAGAAACACCGCTGTTGTTCTTACCACAAACGCTGTGAACAGCTACGGCATTGTACACCTTCAACCAAACCAAAAGACCACGCACAAAAAAGAAACACCCCTCAAGCCCACCTTCAGCCTTCACCCAGCATGAACGTCCCAAATCCAGCCCCTTCGGAAGGCCCTCTTCTGCTCCTCCGGCGCTGTTCCTTGGCTGCCACCTTCGCCAGCTGCGCCGCCGCCGCCGACGGCGACGGCGGCAACGCCTCCGCGCCGGCCGCGGCCGAAACGCCGGCGTTGGAGAGGCGCCGCACAGCGGCGGCCGCGCTGCACTTTTTCACCTGGGCCGGTGGAGAAGGGTGGGTGTGATTTACTGAAAAGGAGGGGGCAGCGCGGGGCAAATCAGATATCACCTATGGAAGAGCGGGGAAGAGATGAGAGAGACGGAGCGTTCAGAACAATGAAAAACATGCCTTTGCTGCTTTGCTCATTGTTCACGTGGAATCATTTGGACCAGGTACGCAGATGGGGTGGATGTTGCTGGATGTGAAAAGAAGGGAAGGTCTTCCCAGAGCATGAGTGCTTCAAATGTCCTTTATAACTATCTTTAGTGGCACCTGCAAATACACTGCAGGTATCTGCAGATACGCATCTGCAGCCACCCCAAGCTGCGAAGCTCTTCTTCGACCTCCGAAAGCCCAGTGGCTGCTTCCATCAGCATGCTCTGAGCCGCTGATTCGATCTCGTGCTTTAAGGCCTGCGCTGTGCTGGGCACAACGCGTGGGGCACGACAAACGATCGACGGAAACTCCTGGATGTACCAGACAGAGAAGTGGTGCAATGCGAGAAAAGTGTAACTAGATTGTAACTATATAGATTGTTATTTCAATGACTATGCTCTATAAACTGGTGGTTTCTGTTTGATATCGTCAATTATACATGTGAATAGCAGAATTCCTTCAAAGGTGGTGGAGTCTATGGATTGTTCTCCAAATGAGGACGTGCTGCCAGGCCATGAACTTTTGATCGCATCGCTTGCGTCCATCGCCTGGCGCCTTGGGGTTTTTGGCACTTAGCAAACGCGCTTCAAACACTCCCAATGGAGACCAGGAACTTTTGTCCAAGGTTTTTTTTGTATTATAAGTATGTGGACCAATGACTTAGGACTTCTTGCCTATGTCAGTAGCGGGTAGTATATACAAGTATGTGGATCGTCACATCCGCTACACCCGCCACTGCCATGCCTTCTCAGCATCTTGGATGAGCTCGGGAGGGACGCCTGGGTTGCTGTATAACGACGGTGGATGGGTACGACGGTTGCGGCCCCTGCCATCTCCGACGAGTTGAGGTTCCCAAACTCATTGGTTTTTCACTATTTCTCTTACTACCTCAGGGTCATCCAATGGGTGTCCAATAGACTACCCTACCTTACTTACAGGCCTCCATTAGGCACCCATTGGAAGTGCTAGGTACAAACCAAAAAGTCCTTCTCACTACTTCGATGGACTAAGATATCGTCCCATGGATGAACGTTCGATCTTCGATCTTGGGCCCGTTCACTACAGGACGTCCAGACCAATCTGAGACGAGAGACGGAGAGACGAGACGGAGTGTGTTTTATCCAGTCCGGGGCCAGTTCCGGCAAATCCACCGGAAATGGGATGTACACTGCCAGATCTGATATCTATCTCTATATAGTCTATACTTATCTTGGGTATATCCCCAATTCCTATTTATTAAACAGTGGACGATGATGGTATATGATGGTCAGTTGCAGGCCTTTCTCAAACATAGTGCTGGCCATCTATTTATCGACTGTCACCAGTCAGATATCAATCTGGATGGCTCCAAGGGAGGCCAAAAGCATCGAAACACATCAAAACCATGGGAGCCCAGGGAGGCCATCTCGGTCCTGCTTTTTCGCTGGTCCGAACGAATCCTGCGCTCACCTTCGCGGGAGGTCAGCTGAAACACAGCTGGGATCTGATCCGAAGAACTGAGGAACTGAAAACGACAAAAAGATACAAAAAGACATAACTACGTTCCATCTTCATCAATGCTCCAATTACCAAAAGATACCAAAAAGCATCCAATAGCACTTGAGTGGCTTCACCTTTTACATCCTTTTACTTTTCTTCTCGTGCCCGTCCGCTCCCGTCCGAGTGGAGCTCCGGTCCCTCGCCGACCATCCGCATGAGCTCCCCGGCACGGCGTGAGCACACGCTGCCGCACCTCCTCCGCTTCTGCGATCATCGCCTCGGGTCGGAAGAGAGAAGGAGCTCGGGCTGCGGGTCGCCAGCGCCCGGTAGATGTGTTTCTTAGTAGGGTGGATTGTAAAGGTTCCAAGTTATCCAAAACAATGAATGTTGCATGGGACATGTAATTGGAGATTCATATTTAGATGGATGGTCAGAGCTTTCCTGGCTTTAGATTTGCTTTGGGTCAGTGCCATTGGTTTGTTCCAAGGCGGACCCACCCAAGGGCAACCTCTTCGTTCTTTGATTCCTAAGCAAACATGGTGACAGATTCTGGGAACCAACTCATTTGTTAGACCCCCAAGCGCTTTTGCTGGATTTTAGCATCCTCCCCGATCCCCCCCAACCCCCTTTCACCTTGATCTGAACGATCTCGCCGCCCTGGATGGCCTCGGAGATGCCTCGGAGTTTCATCTAAGACGTGATCTATGCAAGGATCCCATTGATCTCACGAACAGAAAGAAACATATATAGCAGAATATGTAATTAGATTTCAATCCCTTCGCACATATATATCTTAAGAACTCTTAAGAAATGCATTCAACAAGCTATCTGAATCGACATGAATTGACTCCCTCAAAATGCCATCTCCACCGAACCGCTCCGAACTCCCACTCTTGAGGCCCCACCCCCTGGCCCCACCTCAAGAGGTGAGGGTCAGTCTGGGGGTCCACTGACCTCATCATCCTCATCTGACCGTCAGATGGCCTGCAGGCATCTCAAAGAAGACCTGTCTCATCTGGGCGCCCCAAGCGTTGGCAAAGCGCCTCCTGTTCTTCCAGTTCAGCGACCTGCTTGCCTCGGGCGGACAGACCGTGGGCAGACCGTGGACGAAGACGCCTGGGAAAACGGAGAGGCTGTCTTGAGTCGAAAGCCTCGGTCCGAAGACGCCTGGGTCCGAAGGGGAAAACCTATTTACTTGATAACATAGAACCATGGACCATAACGAAAAGAATATGGTCCTGTACCACACAGCAGTGAGGTTGCACAGTCTGATCTACTGTTACAGCAGTGAATAGGAACAAAAGAAAGGTGCACCCTCCCTCGAAGTTCCTCGAAGTACCATAGACACACACCTAAACCAAGGCTGCTTCATGCGGGGTTGTCCCTATATTATGATGACAGCAGCAGGCCAGTTGGTGATGCCGCCTTTGCTGTCACTCAAGAAAGCAGAACTAACTGTAAGGCTCCTCAAACAAACAAAGAGGAATAACTCCGCAACACCTGCACGTGGGCAGAACACCAACACTGTGAAGCCAACATGTTGACCAATTATTAGATCAATCATCCTTGACCTCTTGTTTCTCACTCACTTTGCTAGACAGGCTTGGAAAAATTATGGGAGAGCTGTCCAGTCAAATGCTTCTGTCGTTGTGCTCGTATATAATCTGCAATCATCTGCAATCTGCAACCGTTGGACATCCAGCTACTTGTGGGATAATTACTATAGTAAACCATATGCACGCCCTTGAGAACGGTTTACGTCACCTGTGGACGCAGTGTTTTCTTGATGTCCACTTGGACATCGGAGACCTAAGAATTTCAATCGTTGACCCCTTTTGAAGAAGCGGCCTGCTCGGAATGTACAATGCAACTGGTCGTACGTAAGCAAAGTAGCAATGAACACCTTTGAGGGTTTGTAAGACTTACAAATAGTTCCCTTAATTAAGAATGTACTCAAGTTCCTGAGCTGCTTTTGTTGAACATCATCCTGGTATAAACCGATAAACCGTTATTCTAAACCACTGGAAGACATGCAAACTCCGATCTTCTCCCACGCCAATGCAGAACTGCTAAGGAGGCCACGAGCATCGTTGAGTTCTTCCTCCTTTAAGCCTGGGTCATGACACGTTTTCAGGTTCAAGATGGCTCACTTAGATTTGCTTCAGGAACTTGAACTGGGAATAAACAACATGAATAAAAGTACACCCCAGAAGGGGAAATTCTTGCCAAGAAGGGGATTGACCCAGCCCAATAGAAATCACCTGATCCGCACAGGAACGGATTTGACCATTTGGGTCAAACTCTGGCACATCTTCCGAAGTTGGTGGATGCTGTTTTTGGTGTTTTTGTACCGTTCTCACTTGCACTTGGATTTGCCAAATGAACAAAACAAAAGCAAAACCACAGGTCCGCATATTCCTCTATGTTTTTCAGATATTAAAATTACATCATCATCATCATCATCATCAGCAGCAGCAGCAGGCTTCGAAACTCTTAACCCACCGTCCTGTTGCTCTTCGCGTTCGTCCGTCCAACTTTCTCCGCGAAGCCGTTCGTCTGCCCCAGGTTGATCGCTGCTTTGAGCTCTTGGAGATTCTTCGACGCGTAGAGCTTCGCCAAGCGCCTGGGGTGTCGGAAGCACAGTCGGACACGTGTGTCGAAACGTATGTCGGAAGATCTATGGGCTGGGAATGAGTGGACTGAAGCCAGCCGAAAACTTGCCCAAAAAAGAATTGGGAAGATGTTGGAAGCTATGGTGAGAGCAGCCAGGTTCTATGATTTAATCGTGATTGCGGGTTCCAACATCTTTCAAAGCTATGTGGTGTGGGGCTCACCAGGGGAAGGGTGCGTCCAAATGCATTAATGGTGATATGTCGTGCAGGATGGTGAAGGACTTCCAAAAAAGATCGAAGTCGTAACAGGAAGCTACTAGGGGCTTCTGGCATCGCTACTGGGAGCAAGGACGCTAATTACTAGGGGCTCCTGGCCTTACTACTAGGAGCAAGAAGCTACTAGGAACAAGAAGGCGCCTAAGTAAACTTTTGATGATTCTTGCTTGCAGGCCCAACAGCCTTGGCAATCTCTGGCATAAGGACCCTGGCCTCTCAGCCTGTCTTTCAACGTCGTCGCTCTGATCCCCAGGCTTCATCCGTGGATGGGGTGAATGCAGAAGACTTTCAACGAACATCAACGAACCACCTCCGCTGGACTAACCGGGGGCACAAGCCGGCGGGGCTCCGTCCAATTCGTTGAAAGATGCGTATTTTTTTCAGACACCGTTTTGGGACAGTGTTCTTTTGTGCAACCAGGTGAAGCTCTCGTAAACAGGTTTCACTCATTAACACGAGTTGAGTAGAATGATGGATTCAAAAAAACGAAGAGATGTTCCCACCTGTTCTTCCAAGCCAAGGGTAGGTCCCTGAGCCTTCACTGAGCCATCGCCCAATCCCCAGAAATCAAGTCGGACGGCTTTCGCAGTTGGATCCGCAGTTCCTCTTCCTGGACGATCTCTGAGGCCTTTCACGTGCGGAGTCACGGCCACCGCGGTGAACCGCGGTGCACCGCGGTGACCCGGCGGCAGGGAGGCACGGAGATCGGAAGGGAGACCGTGAGGTTGGGAGATGAGGGACTGGCCAAAGTGAAAGAATGAAGGGAGCGGAGTCCAGTACCTTGAAAAACAAGTGGGGAGATGCTTATGAGATTCAGCATACCAACCGATGTTAGGTTGTGAGATCACCATGTTTTCATATTTCACAATGAAGGGAGTGGAGTTCACTGATCGAGTTCTCGAACGATGTGTTTCAGGTCTACCAAAAGAGCCAACAAGCATACCCCAACTTTTTACAAGGGTCTGTGAACTTGAGCAAGGCGCCGGACATACCTTGACATAACTACACACGCCCTTCAAGAAACAAGAGCCGTTAGTGAAAAAGGGTGTTGACCTCCCACATTTTCCCACCAAACATCATACAATCCATGTCCGATGTCAGTGTTTGTATTAAGTCTGATTATAAGTAATCTTCTCCAATCCACCTGTGTCATATGCGGGCAGAGAAAGCAAGGCCAAAGTCGCTCAAAGTATGTACAAATAGAAATACATGTAACATCACATTAACTAGACAAAGAGTAATTTAGTGTGTGTGTTATATGATACCAGATGTGGTATCTATGCACACAATATACCACATAATTACCACATATACCAGATGTATTAAATTATAGTATAATACTGGCCAAGAGTATATATATATATATCAGTGGCCCATTATAACCCATCGCAACTTGAGACCATTGCGATCACCACATCTCCCGAGTTTTGACCTCTGCGATCGCCATCACAGAGAGGCCAACAGCCTGTGCACGACTCAGGCGCCGTCATGCGACCTGTGGGTGAAGAGGGGTGAAGGTAAAGGCTTTGGTGATGGACGGCCTAACATATCCTATATACAGATGTATAAAGTTTTGCATCAATGTTTCTCCATGTTTCTCCCCACTAGCAGGTCACTACCCTCTTCCTGCCACCTACACATGCATCACATGCCCCCTCGGCCACCAGATCACAGCACCTTTCCGCACAACATCTCTATCCCCGCTCCTGCCACACTTCTCAACCACTATGTGACGTTCCCGTCGTGCACGTCAGTCGTGCGCGTCACGACTGTGCGGGACACGATGGCCGGTCCCAAACACGGCGGTGTAGCCTTGCCCTGCTCGATGGCCGCGAGGATCGTCGGGATGTCCCGGCTCTGGATAGCTTCTTTGAGCTTCAGCCGGGCCTCAGAGTCACGAAGAGTGCGAAAACTGCGAGTCATCGACCATGCATGGTATTGACCGTGGTATGGAACGTGGGATGACCAGCCAGTCCGAATACCAAACAGGTGGTTTTTCACTCCACTTCAATATTCTTTCAGGGAGTGTGTAATGTGTTGGTATATGTTGGTATATATCAAACTTTTAAAGCAAGAGAAAAGACTTGCATTTTATAGAGCGATGATGAGCCATTTCTGTCAAATCAGTAGGGTCCTCAAGATTCAAATGTGCAATTTTAGGCAAAATCCTAGCGGATTTGAACCGCTCAGGGGACCACAGTCACCGGTATGAGGATGGTGCCAGGCAAATCCCACGCAACGCCCTCCGTCGCGCCCAGCTTTGGGGTCCCAAGTCAAGCACCCCTTGTGGTGCACCGGAGGATGCAAATGTCGTTCTTCTATCCCAGACACTGCATATCCTACATTGGGATGCTTTTGGGAGTCAATGGGGCGGCATATACGGCATACGTCATACGTGTCTGGGTATTATGTGAGTCTTTGTTGGTTTTCCCAAATGCGTAGCGAAGCTTACAAAGCATCCCCCGGAAGGTCCGGGGTACAGGCCTCTTATTGGCTCGAGGATACTTGGGAGTCCCGGTCAGTCGGCTTGTAGGCATTCTCCAGCTGCACCTCTGCCGCCTTCACCCTTGGCACACCACAGCGGCAAGAGTGGCCAAAAGGCCACCACTGGCGGACTTATAGTGGATAAATGTTGACAGGGTTTCGACACGTCCTTGGACAAACAATTCTTGGAGGATGAACCTGTTTAGTCTTGATGCTTTTTGGTCTACCAGGTGCGAACCCAGAACGAGGGAAATCGATGGAAATAGATGGTACCCTGTTCAAATCATGGTTTTATGCAGCCTTAAGACATTTTTTGTTTGACCTGATCAAGACCTTCACCGAGTTCGATCTCTAAGATTCGGAAGAGCTCATTTCCAAAAAAATAGGACGAAGCTCCCCTGATTTCGACACAGGTGGGTATGTCTCAAGAAGTATTCAAAAAAGGAAGGTCATTAGCCATTGATGTCCTTTCTAAACATGGTTTCTCGGATGTTTTTTGCGAGACTGACCAATCCACGTTTCAATTTGGACCTCAGAAATCACCGTCTCTCACCATCTCTCACCCCTCCCCTGAAACCCTGAGCGATGCTTTCCACATACTCTCTGAGCTTCCCAAGCTCTTCAGAATCAATGCCTTCCACGTCGGTCGTGGTGCGCGACTGGGGTAGGTTCTGTCTGGGTGGAGGTGGGAAAGACGCCCGCGACTCGCTGGGTTCCCCCAAGTCAACGTCGAATCTGAGTCTGGGTGATCTTTTGCGGTCTGGACAGCACAAAGTCCAACATCGCATCATTTAAACACATAAACATAAACAAAAAAGAGTCACACAAGACAGTAAGTAAATTACCAACACACAGAACATGTTTCTCCCACATTCAGAGGGTGTAGTCTAGGTCTTGCCCCATCCGTTGGTCTCACCATCGTCTGGTCATCTGGATGATTCCAAGACCTCAAACAAAACCAAACGGCAAACGCGACGATCCTTTTCACCGACCCGCGCAACCCCTCTCCACCCGACGATCACCGACGATCAGCGACCTGCTGCTCGGGCATCTTCGATGGCTGGCCTTGGATCGATGGCCGTGGACGGTCGATGTCCGACCGCCCTTGGGGACGGCCGCCACGGCCGCCACTGCGGATAGAGGTGTGCGTTCAAAGTTCCCATCTATAGTGTCTAACTTGGAAGCTTCAATCCAGGCATTCTGCAAGAAACCTCGGTGCTATTTTTAGTGCGCGCCCACCATGTCTCCCCTTCTCTCCAAGAAAAAAGGATCCTGGACTTCGTTCTTGAAACACGGAGAGGTCGGTCCCTCCAAAGTCCCTGCAAAGCCACGAAGCCACGAAGCCAAGATCGTTCAAAAGGGGCCAAAGGCCATCGTTCGGACTCCCGAAGTGTGCATGTGGGTCTTCCAAGTCAGGTTCAGCTTTAGAAGTTGGGGCGCCCCGATGTTCTGATCAATCACCTCAATTAAGATCTCTCCAAATCCAAAGGAGTGGAACCAAACGTGTATCAGTAGATATCTGTAATCAGTAGCAGTAACAGCACAAGCGTAAAAATTACACTCTAACTCTTACCTTCTGATCATTTCTGCACCATCTTCCAACATCTTGAATCCTCTATCCCACCCCCAAAGCCAAGCCAACTGCCAACTCTACAGCCACCCCCCTTCCAAATCCCAAACCTCAAACAGAAAAAAGGACATCTGAAACAAAGCAGAAAACGGTCTCCCCTGGCAGATTTACAGCAACTTCAAGTTGGGCTCTCTCCCCAAGCACACCGCCAGCTCTCTCAACTTCAGCAACAACTTCAAGCCACTTCAGCAACTCCTTCAGCAACTTTAAGCTCTGCCTCTCTCTCCTCACCTCTCCTCCTCTCCCCCACCGCTCTGCCCCTGCGACCGCGGCTTCAAGGCATCGATCGTGGCCAGCTCGACTGCCTCCTGCAGCGCTCGCCGCGCCGCGACCTGCCGACCCGGTGAGTGGCGAAGGTGGCGAGAGCAGGCTCGAACGACAAAAAGAGGCATCTTAGAGTCTGAACAACAACCAAATCAATATATGTAATACAATTTAGATGGATTTGGAGATTATGTGATTCACGGTGCTTTTGAGAGCTGCTGGTTTATGGGGGGTGGTTGTAGAAAAGCAAATAATGTTTGAGCATTGGATGCATTGGGAAGCGATCCCTCAACGGGTAAGCAAATGGTTACTGGGGCTGTTGGAGGTGATCATTCAACTATCTTCGACTCATCGCCTCGAGTCAAGTCTCTCTTGGCCTCTGGATTGATTATTGAGATACCCATAAATCCCGTAGCACTCAGTTTATTGATCATATAATATATATATATATATATGATGGTCTCCTCAAGAAGAAGCTCATGCCCAAACTTTCCATTCATATGATCTGAGCTTGGTTTCCTTCTTTGTCGGGTAAACCACGCGAAACAACATTCAGTGAGCTTCCTCACACCACTTGTCTGCAATGCACCACGTTCGGTAGCAACTGTGGCCGCGTCAGCTGCGTGGGCTGCGTTGGGCTGCCTGCATGACGAGCTGGTCCAGGACCACTTGAGCCCCCTGCATCTCCTCCTCAGTGAGCCCTGCCAGGTGAAACTGCGCAAAACTGGGATGGAGAAGTGCTTGCATGGCTGAAAGCCATGGAGGGCGAGGAGTCAGGGGTGGGGTCCTATATCCAGCTTGGACGGGAGCCATAGTTGTTTAGGCCATGCCGCACAAAACAAGTGACCATCTGGGCGTGCCAAAGTGAGAATGCCACAGAAATAGCCCTTCAACCACTGAATGGCAAGATTCCCCACTGAATGTTCAGACACCCAGTCATTTGATTCACCTCGGGCGTCCTTGGAACGGCTGAAATCACTGTCTGCTTGGGAAAACCCTGGGTAAACCGCCACTGGAAACTCGAACCCGAACTCTTGAGGTGAAAACATATCAAGTGCTCAGGGCCTTCGGGGTGGCCTTCAGAGTGAGATTAGCACCATGTCAATCATCGCCTCAGTACTTCACGGGTCTCACTCGGCCTACATTCAAGGTCAGGTGCTCCAGCTGCTCCGCAGAAAACCACACCTTGCGCCCGGCCGCGGCCCGACGCGACGGGGCCTGCGGATTTGGCACCCTTGAGCGCGTCGTGCAAATCGGAAATGCGGCCCTCAGGAGAGGCCTCAGGAGAGGAGTCGTGCAAGGTCTTGGGGTCTTGGCCTCATCGTTAGGTCACTTGCAGGTCATTTGGAGGTCATGGAATCTGTGTGTTTGCTGAAGAAGTCAGAGTTTTCTCTCCCTCCCATTCAGGAGTGCCAAGCAAACTTGAATCTAAATAACAATAGTGATGTTGATGGGGCTGGCCTGAAGCACATGACCTTCTCTATAAATTGAATATGGGTGGTTCAGGGCTCAGTTGAGCTGTGTTAAACAAATTGAACTCTTGCTTCGATTGGCTGTGCAAGAACAGGGAAGAAAAACACGTGTTTCCTGGCCCAGAAAAGGATTTGCCTTGGATGTGCCCTGATTTGCCAATCATCAGAGAAAACCAAAATCACCCTAAGCCAAACCAAGCTTAAGTCGTATCATTTTGTGCACCAGTCGTTGCGCAGTTCTTACTCGCCTCAAGTTCTGACTTACGAGGAAAACGCTCATGGCAAACGCTTGCGCGAACAGCGTTTGCAGTCAGTCAGAGCTTAAGCAAAGCCTTTTTCCTTGGAAGGTCATAATCATAATGGCTAAATATGGTTCTCGGCTGCAAGTTTGCATTCTCATGATTTCCAATGAAAGACTGTTCCATCTTGCAGTAACAAATCGTTTCACCATCCAAAAAGCATGAAGCTTGCGATGTCCATCACGAAAGCAAGTAGGACCCGAACATCAAGCAAAAACTCAGTGACCCTCTTTCCATTCTCCTGCTCCGCTCGTTTCTCACTCACAGAATCCGCCTTCTTTCCCAGCCGCGCATCTTTCAGGATCACTCGTGCAGCCGCCTGCGGCTGTGCTGTGGCGGGAGAAGGTGAGTGGGTCGAAACCGCAGCACCAAACCGTGCAAACAAGGGATTTTGAGGTGCCAGTCCACTCACTTAGAGACGGAATGCACCCCGGAACTGATGGTGGACATTCGGAGGATGGTAGGAGAGGCAAAAAAACATCGCCGGCATGTTTGGGGGTATTAGATCAAAGATAGAACCAACCAGGCACCTTCTGCTGCTCATGTCATGCCACCCCGTCCAGTGCCTTCTGCTGCTCATCTTTCAACGCCTTCCGTGCTTTATCCAACTCGGCCGCTGGCAGCCCTCGGCGGACTTTCCCCATGGCCGAGGTGTGCAAATTTGAGGCTGTGCCATGGAAGGGTGCCAGGGCTAGCGGGTGTTAATGTAGACTTATGATCAATGAAACCACCCATATGAGGATGTAAAACATTGTAAAACCATTCTGGTAGGGATTAATAGAACTCCCCGACCAGAATGTGTTTACATCTCCGTGTGGAGGCTTCATTAATCAAGAGTCTACATGAATTCAGCTGGGCCCTGGGTGTTGATGTGGCAAACGCACGAACCCGCTTGGACATGCTCGGCTTTCCGGCCCAGCCTGTGGTCGATGCTAGGGCGATGCTTTCGGTCAAAGCAGAGATCGAGTGGCCTGGCGAGGCTGGGAGAAGAGTGATGAGTCTTTCTTTGATTATAGACACTCCCTGCAACAATCATGGAAGTGGAAGTATATAGGGTTTGGAAGAACATTTCCCTCTACAAACTGGGGCCGGCGGCCTCCTTCCTATGAGTGTCTGAGGGAGGGCAATTACATGTGTGGGTCATGTCCTCTCATTCACTCCATGGCAACCAAAGGCAATAGATTGTTTTCATCTTCACGCAAACAAACCCTGGAAACGGTGAGGAGTCAGTCTGATTGTGGTCGCCAACCTCCACTTTCCCCAACCTGGAAATATCACCAACAAAGCTTGCTTCAAACATCAGATGCAGAATGTCTGAACACATACAGCCTTGTCAATCTTATTTGTTGATTGTCAAGTTGTTACCTAATTGCATTTGAGACACTGCAATCTGTCGGTCGCCTCAATGCCCTGCTGCTGCTATTGAATGCTCAAAAACCGATTCTTGCTGAACACATAGCAACACTTGGAGAGTTACAATCAAAAACTTGTGATGAGCTGTGTGGCAATTCGGTGAGGCCAAGGAAGAAATGGTGTCTTGGGATTGTCTGCTCTTGGCTTCTCACCTGCAATGGCAGCCTGGAGCTTCTCCTGCGCTTCGACCTGCCAGCAGGTCTGGTTCCAAGCAGATCAGTGTCCAAGATCTCCGGAGCTGATTCTTGCCAGCTTTGCAGACAAATAACTTAACAATCAAACATAAAGCACATTAAATCATTAATCATTAAACTTCACACCCTTTCACCTCCTTCTCCCCCATCCCATGTCATGGCCACATCCTGTCCCGCATCCGAGTCGTCGCGTCCGAGTCGTCCCCGCCGCCTTTCGTTCCAAACGGCTCAGTCGACGCCTGGGGAGTGAAGAGTCGGATTTCGGTCGTCCTCCGAAAACTGACGCTTTGCACTAGCGATGCGAGGACGCTATTAGGGGCTCCCCTGGCCTTACTACGAACGTCACAAGAAGCGACCAACGGGGCTCCTGGCATCGCTACTGGGACTAAGGACGCTACTTCCCAACAGGACGGCCATAACTGCTACGCTGTGAAGAGAATCTTGGGATGATGGATAGATATGGATGGTCTTTGTATCACCATCCCCTTACGAACGGGTCCTCCTACCTATGCACCACATCCACTCCTGTTTTGCTTCTGGCTCAGCCCCACTAATCTGATACAATGCAGTGTTCTTTTCCGCGACTGGCTGTTTACCAGCATCTGGGTCACTCCTGCCCTTGGCCGGAATACACTGACACCTCACCAAGTCCTTGAATCAAAACGAAATGATCCAAAGCAATGCTTGTCCTATCCTGTCAAGCAGGGTCCAGCATGAAAACCACTTCAAATATCTTCAAATATTGCTACAGTAATTCTCACGGGCTTCAAAAAGGGGGTCGAGATTCAACGTGGCGGGTCTGGCGTAGCAATCAACGTTCAAGATGATTGGATGTGGATGATACTCCGGAAAGTGGCGTCCTTTCAAACATCTGACATGTGGACAAGCATAAAGAAGTGTCAAGGGTTCTTCAGAACTTCAGGTCTCTTCAGCTCTTGAAGGGGTTCTTACTGCAATCAAGTTGACCACATCAGAGAATACAGAGAAACCATCCAAACCAAGGACCGAGGATATGTTGAATCACGATGTATTTTCCAAGAAATGCACACACAATATCCATATCTTCTTCTCGCTTCCAGAGCTGGCAAAGTAAGCGGAAGCCGTTGAAGAGATGGGAAGAGATTTCAAGATATTACGGCCCTTTTGGACATCTACACCCCAAACATCCCCACTGAAACTGTAGCCCCAAGGCACTCTTGGGTGATGCATGCGGCACGATCATGCGCCCGTATCGGGCAAAGCGGTTGGGCCCGTATCGGGGGACACGCCGGTTTCGAGAGAACAAGACGGGGGTCAAAAACACAAGAAAAGCACTATATTAAGAGATCTGAATATGTCTGACGAAGGGGTGCAAAAAGGAAACTACAGTATTAAAATGGAATCTCAATAGGTGTCCCCCCAACATGTCATTCAGAAGGCGGTGTTCTTCTTTTCTGATGGATTACTTAATTGTGATAGATTTGTGGAGGAACGACAAAGGGCTGGGGCATGCTGCAGCTCTCTGAGTTCGTGTTGAAAAATTCGCTTCACACATCTTCACACCTTTGGGACCTGTTGGGCCAATATATTGTTTGGGACCTGTCAACAGTTCATCTGCTCTTATCCATGTGATTTTTCGATGGTTTTTCGGCGAGGGATTGGGGGCCGAGCAGGCGAACTTTCTCTTGAGGGCTTTTGGGTCTCCGGAGAGGTTACCAGAAGTGAACTCAGATCTGGAAAAAGGGAAGACCAACGGAACGAGCCTGCACCAAAAGACGTCTTTAAAGGATACCAGCTATGCCTCTGAGCTCGCTACCCGCTACATGTACCTACATCCCGGCTCCTCGCGTGTCTACGCCCGTCTTCGGCCATCGGATGGACTCGCGGCGCTTCGACCGGAGTCCCAGTCCTCGCCTCAAGTGATGCAGCCTCAGCTGCCAGAGCCAACGAATCGGAGCCAACGCACGTCACGCGACGCGTGGTCGTGGTCGTGGTCACCACGCGTCGTGGTCGGCAGCCCTTTTGAATGGGAACAAAAGACATCCAAGAATATCCAAGACCTCAGCTCGCCGCTCGTGTTCTTCCAGACCCAAGCTCACGGAATCCTCTAAGGCCTGGTGTCGCCCCGATGCTGAGAAAACCGACCAAAACACCGCTGCTGAGAAAAGCTCGTGTGTAGCCCGATGTCGCTGGCGCTTTCAACGATAAAAGAAGGACGAAAACCATCAAAAACCTGTGGAACGCTCGGCCGGATCTCTTCACATCTCCAGATGTTTTTAGAACAAGTCCGACAGGATGATAAGATTGGGCAGGACATCCAAGAACCTCGCATCGCATTGTCCCCACCTGTGATTGCAAATTCACGAGATCGAACATCCAGAGGGGTTGAAGTCTTGAGACTACGAGTAGAGTTTAGCAGCAAAACATGGTCCGTACTTAGTCTAAGCATGTATATTATAACTATAACCCTCCTCTAAGAGTTTTGGAACACGATTCCGCCTCCACCAGGAATCCTACCAGCTTTCTGCCCTGGCGCCTGACGAAGTTGTGCAATGTTAGCAGTCCGACCGGCCTGGCGAGCTCTTTAGGGCTCCGAACGTTCCCAGCTTCTTCGGGAGGAGCAAACAGCACACCGTGTTTCCACGGTGCCCGAACCGCGCGACTGCGTATACAAGCTGGCTGTCAGTTCCAGTAGGGCAACTTGCCTCCTTGTCATTGTTCGTGTAAGAATATTAACTTGAATAACAGAACAACTAACTCGAGTCTAGGGAACTTCTGTTTGGTGATTGGATATCCTCAGCATGTTGACGTGTTCCATGAAATCACCAGGGGACTCACAAAAGCTTTCAGCCAATTTCCAAGTATAGGTTCATATTGACCCCTCAGTCAAACTGATGATGAAACAACCACCACCACATCTCGAGATGGTTCTCCTGTGGTCGGTGGTCAACACTGAAATTGCCCTACAACCCTTGGTGTCGTTTGAAACTATATGCATTGTTTCTCCTCCAGCTTTCACCTTCAATCACCCCATGGGAGACCATGCACACCGTGCGTTCTTCGGCACCTTCGACCAGGCTCCAGTAGCTTCGTCCCTTGCAGTCCCAGATGTTGATGTTCCGCAGTCCCTCGTCCGAGCCTCGCCGCGAACGAGGCGCGAACTCGCCTCGTGCAGCAGCATCCTGGCATCTTCCTGCTTCTTCACGTCTTCCAAGACCTTCTCCTGGCGGCTCGGTCGATCAAAAGAGATCAAAAGCTCGGTCGATACGACCCTGAGATTCTGAAAAAAACAGCAGCCCAAACAATAGAAGCGAAGAAAACTCATACTAATAACGGGCGCCCAGTAACGGGCCATCTTTGAACAACAAGTTGACCCAAGATGAAGAAGCATCACCATTCAACTCCCACTTTAAAGCTATTTGTTGAAGGATCCCCTTCACATTGGTGGCATGGGGTGATATAAACATGGTTCCACCATGTTCCACCTCATCGCATGGGTCGCTGCTCGCACACGACCGGGCCACCAGGCGGCACTTTGAAGCTTCGACGCATCTGAGAGTCGCAGTAGGTGCACGTGCGACGGACGCGGTGGTCACGTGGGATCGGCAGCTGCTGGATCGGCTGAAGACCATGGGATTGGAGCGAAAAGTAAAATAAATACATATAAATCATTATAAATACTGTATTCTTTTGAGCAATGCTGTATACTGTATTGTATTGGATTATATACTGCATTCTTTTGAGCAAGGCCGGGATTTGGTTGAGGGAGGTGGGTGATGCTCCAAGCATGCTTTTGTTCTTTTTTGCCGGCTGCCAGTTGGACAATTTTGATGTGCCACTTGGGGGGGGCTTCTTGATGGATGCAGGGTGAGGAGGCCGAAGAAGGTCATGAAAAATGCACTACACAAGTATGGCCTGAACACCTCCAGCATGTGCTTGGAAACATTTGGAAACACTTCCATTGTACGCACAGCATGTGCTTGGAAACATTTGGAAACACTTCCATTGTACGCATGCAAAAAAAACAGCAACATCCCATTACTTTGTTAACCTATCAGGTGAGTGGCGTGTTCACCGCAATGGCAGGAACTGGAGCGCATCCGAAGTGTCTGTGCCAGTGAAGACCTTGAGAAAGACGTTTAACACCAAATCCGTAGGCAGGGGCTTGGTAGCGTGTGACCTGAAACTGAAGCCCAGCCGCTACTGAAGTAAAACACCGACACCGCAAAACTGAGGTCTCTGTGTCGAACTTGTTTCAATAAACAATAAAAATACGACGTGAAACATGAAACGTCATGAAACATGGCTTTATTCACCACATGTCACCACCACCCTGGGGCCCCTGCGCTTCCTTCAGAACCCTCCAAGCAAGGAATCCCATGGGCCATGAACAACCCATGTCCAGCCCCCACGGCACACGGCTGGGTGCTGCTGGCCACTGGGCCGCCCCGGCTGACGCCGGCCTCGGCGGCCTTATCGATGGCCGCCCGGATGGCGGCGATCTCGCCGTCCGACCTCGACCGATGAGTCAGAGGACCGAAAGCCTGGAGCCTGAGGCCTGAAGCCACCGAAAGCCGCCTGGTCAAATTCAGCTAGTCGTCGTGACAGAAGGGTGGATGAAGTTGGAGTTGTAGGGTGACATCTAGAACATGAACATGACTGCTTGCCTGAGGTTGAGTTGTTCAATGCGATTTGATCCACGACATCGCACAACCATCCATTGCGACATCTTTCCGGACATTTCCCCACACATTATTAACGACCACTCGCCTACTTGCGACTCTACTCGGCTTTGAGGGTCTGACAAGGTCTTTTCCAGCCGGTACAAAGCATCCGCCTGGCTGAGCCAACAGGGTTCAGGGTGTAAGGTGCTGCCACTAGAGGTGTGGAGGAGATGTATTTTGAGAATGAAAAAGGGCTGTATACAAAGCAATCGTCCTGTCGAAGACGGAGGCCACATGAATTTGCAATGAATTTGCAACATGCGGGTGTCGTCGAATATTGGTCTAATGTTGTACATCGATCCATGTACATCCATCATCTGTGTCAGACGAAGGCCCATCAAGCTATGAAAAGGGGCCGAGACGTATGTTTGTGTGAAGACCCCAAAAGGACCCTTGGGAACAGGACAAGTCGATGAGCCGGCAGCTGTTTGTTGGGACCATCAACCCCATGCCTGCTGCTACTAACCTATGGCTCACTCAAAGTTGAGCGCTACAGTTCTTGGCATGAGGGCCACTTGCTATGGTTTAGCCCAAGAAATCAGAGTTGTGTTTCATCTTCTCATGTCAGCTGTGACGCTTGGAGTTCCCAACTCAGAAGCCTCACCTTCCGGGCTTCCAGCAAGGTGTGCCGAGCATGTTCCAGCTCCATGGGGTACAAATGACACTCCTTCACAACAGGCGTTAGGTCGGTCCAGGGGCCAAGTGGGGGAAGTCAAGAAAAGTCGAGGCAAGTCGTACTGAATGTGAGGTAGTCAAGTAGTCTGGAAGGATTTGAAACATGTTTGGAAGGAGCCATTGGAAAAAAGAACAGGAAGAAGAAACAACACTTGAGGGAAACACCCCAAACACCTGACATGTGAACATAGCTGTTGAAAACTGCTCCGAAATCACTGTTGGACCGGGGCGTCTGACCCGCCCAGTGATTTCTCCGAAAAGGTGCATCGTTGCATCGGTCAATCCGAAGAGATGTTCGGCATTCGACGGGTTCATGACTCAAAACCCTCACCGGATGTTGTTCTTCGAAGTCCAAAAGGCTTGGGGGGGACTTCGACTTCAATTGTTTCACACCGGTCCAAAGTCTTTAGGAGAAAACACAAGGCGGGGCACTATCTTAGACCCGTCTGTCTGAAATTGGAAACCTCCTGGCTTGAAGATCTTCCCTCAAACAAGAAACATGGAAGCAAAGCACCACCCCCTTGAAGAGCAAATCTAGACTTCCGAGCAAGACCCAACACATGATTTTGCTTCCACGCTGCAACGAGCAAAACCTCTTACTAGAAATCTCTCTGGCGCCAACTCTTCCCAAAACCGACCCGAACTCACCGGACGTGGATCCCTCTTGAGGGCCTCTCAAGGGTCGAGTTACCCACGTCATCCACGTCGTCGCTCCGGACGGAGGAGCACCCGCTCCTCGCCGGCGATGAGGGCCTTCTCGATGTCCGCGATGCGCCTGTCATGCATGGCCTTGGTACCGCGATAAAGGAGAAACAGCTGAAAGGCTGCAAGTGGGAAGGTGAGCTGCAAGTGACATCCAGCTTCAAGCAGTTCTGCAAAAGCATGTTGTTCGATGCTACTGATTTGTAGGTCTTGAAGAATTTCAGCCAATCATTGTGGGGTCCAAAAAGGCTGCAGTCAAAGCATTTCTCAGACTATCCATGTCTGCAGTTCAGTGAGTTCATTTGAGGTTGTGTAAAAAACCCTCTACCTGTCCCTATACCACTTTTGACGTTATCGTTGTTTCTTCCTTATCGCAGTAGGTTTTCTGTTTGTGTGCACGCACGCGTTTTCTTCACACCACTTCTCGCATGTAAGGGTTTTCCACAAGAGTCATCGGGGGTTATCGTGTTTTTCATTTCTTCCTTATCGTTTTACAGGGGATTGGGCACGCTTCCAGATTCTTGTATGTTTTTTTGTATACTCTCTCATTTGGACATACTTGACCAGCCAAAGGGATATTGGATGATACTGGTGAACCGCATATGCCAACATTGGCAAGGAAGCCGCCAACACCTGCTCGTCAGCCAATAGACTTGGAAATCGAATTTTAAAAGGTATTCCTATGTAAAACATTGTAAAACCACATGCGAGCACCTCCCTCGACTACCCCGACGTTCAGCCCCGGTGGCACGCTTCAGGTTCCATCGTGCTAGGCGTTTCTCCTCCTCTGGCACCACCTGGAGGAAAACCAGGTGACGAGTGCGCGCGCGAAGGTCCTAAGTTTGGAAGATGAGCAGGATAAAGACCTTACCAGAGGCTTCAAAAGTCGGCATATTACACTTTTGTAAGACCAGGCAGACTGGCAGTTGATGGACAAGATGTCTATTCCCTGCAAATACTCTATATTGTTGACTCCACAAAAATAAATGTGAACAATTGTGCATCTCCTGTTCATGACACACTATGAGAAGTGGGATTTGCTGTTGGCCAGCTAAGCCTATAGTTTCAGATACAAGTAGAAAAGCCTTGTCCATCAACTGCAGCAGCAGCCATTGCGCTCTCCCTCGCCCTGGCACCTGCTCCAAGCGTGCCATGACGCAAGTCACATGTTGTCGCCGCAGTTTTGCAAAGAAACCATCGCTTCAAGGGACAGCAAACCACGGTGAGTAACCGAGCATGAGCAGGGGTGGGCTTCCAAAGTGATGAGTTGGATACGCGACATCACCTCATTTGTCGCATGAGTGAGCTTGCCGCGCGAAGCATTCTAGGTGATTTGCAGGTATCAGCAGAACTTGAATTTCCATGTCTTTTGCACGTAGTGTTACAAAGGTCAGGATTCTCATTGCAATCTTTACCAAGCAATTGTTCCTTGCTGTGGCATAGTGTGACTTTGGCTGGCTGTAGACTGCTTGCAATGTCCAACACAAGAAATATGAGTCGCATCAGCCAAGGATGAAGAGATAATTTAAATAAGTGTAAACTTAACAATTGCAACCCCTCTTCCAATGTAGATGCATTTCCTCTTCGGAAGCTTCAAAGCTTCCAAACCTTGTAGGCCCACAAACGGTCACTACTTTCAGACACGCCCTCCTCCAATCAGGTCTCCAATCAGCTGGCGGGGTTCCTCGTCAAACAACTCTCTGCCACGGTTTCCAGTGGGACGACGGCAGGGAAATGCTCGAAACACCATGGGTAGCAATCCGAAGCCCATCGGAATGCCATGGGCACTACCCCCATCCATCACAGCTATGAAAACGCACTTAGATCCCCTTTTTGCCTCTCCCTTTCCATCTTCGGGTCTTTGACCCTGCAAGAGCACTGCCCCACCCTCATGCGCGCGGACCAGGTCGCATAACCTCAGCGTTGCGATCGAAACAAATGCGGCTTCAGGCATTCGATAATTCCTTCTTGTTGGTAGTGGTAGTAGTAGTGGTAGTGGTAGTGGTAGTGGTAGTGGTAGTGGTAGTGGTAGT